AAGACCGTGGCGCAGAAGTCTATCGCTTACCGCACCAAACGACTCATTTTAAAATCTATTGGAATAGGAATGTTGCGTTTATATGAAAATATATAAATATCACGTACTAGCACAACATCTCGCGATGCAGAGATTGCAATTTACAAAGCGAAAGGTTAGTCATTTTCAATGCATCACCGAATGACTCGTTTCATATAGGCAAGTAGAAATTGCTACAATTTTAGTATAAACCACCTCAAGTTCATCATCAAACGAAAGATATAATAATGCAATGGATTAAAACATTTAGCTCTAACCATCAACCTAAATGCATATAATTTTTAACAAAAAAAAAACCGACTTCAATCAGAAAATTATAACATTCAATGATGGCCCTCGATTCCTATGTCATTGTCAGTTTTCCTTATCATGGTAACCACCCTTAGAATATCTCCTTTCCGAAAAAAAAAAAGAATCATCCAAATCGGCTCATAAACGACGAAGTTATCCGCGAAAACACATAAAAAATATATATAGTCGAATTGAGAAACCGCCTCCTTTTTTGAAGTCGGTTAAAAACTTCTCTCAACTGTCAACTGATCTCTTCATACAAAAATCATAAAGACTTTTGTTTTCGGTCTCTCAGCGCGCCAGCTAGTCTATTCGTAGAGCAGAATTACACAAATTTGGTGTACTCAACGGCCCTGAACGTGGCCACGTGATTTCTTTTTTTATGTGAGATGGTGGCAAGCGAGCTGGCGGTTCACCCGATGTTAAGTGATAACCGCCGCTCATAGATGCATTTGCAACATCCGTAGTGTTGCAGATGCGTTGCCAATTTTTAATAAAGTTGGTCCCGGCTACCTCACTCACCAGATGAAACTCAGATGTATGACTCTTCCACTTCTGAGTTCGTGGTACATACCCTGACAGATTTGCCCATTCGTGTAACAGCCGAAACTGCTGCGTGGTCCACTGTAGGCATGCAGTAGGTATTTAAAATGGATTTGCCAATCAGTGTAATTAATAACTTACTAAGTGTTATAAAATGACGTCCAAGCCGTCATCTGTTTGAATCATTCAGACAAAGTTAAATAAGTAAAAAAGCTGCTTCAATTGTCTTTAGGCTAACATATTCCTGTTATTTTCAGACTTCCGTATTCGGTATACACTGAGGTAGAATCCACAAGAAGTCAGTATTTTCGCGTCCCTGTGACTGATGTAGCTTTACCTAGTCCATTTTTGTATCGGAGGAAAAACTAAAGGCAGGGCAATGTAGGTTTCTTATCCACTAAAGCTCCATCGGAGGCCAACCTCAGATAGTTTGGAGAGGCTCCGCGATCTCCTACCAAGCCAGTCGCTGCTTTATGACGACACAAGACCACGTCATTTTTCCACCAGGTCCTCTGTGATGTACGATCAAATCCCGCACCTCAATAAATCCAAGAAGGTCCCAGAACAAGAACCAAGCGATTTGCTTCGTCATTTATCATCCGTACAGCTTAGGAATGGAACAACGTGTCGGCGTCCGTCTTTCCGTCCGATTACAACGTAGTCTTCAAGGCAAGAGTGAATAGGTTTTTACTGAGCTAGCGCGCTTACCATCAAAGGCTGCATCGCCACTTACCATCAGGAGGAATGGCAGTCAAGTGCTGGCCAGTTCAAAATAAAAAATAAATAAATCCGGTGTAACATATTTATGAACGTATTATGATAGGCAGAAGATTAGCCCTATGCTCCTAGCCTGTACAGAGAGTACTCCTTGTACAGGATTGAGCAGATGTACATAATTATATAAGTATAGAGCAGATGTAAATAGAATAAGAAGAATCACTACATAGTATAAAACGTCGTCCCGCTGTCTGTCTGTCCCTATGTATGCTTAGATTTTTAACACTGTGCAACGGATCTTGATGCGTTTTTTTTACTAGATAGAGTGATTCAGGAGAAAGGTTTATATGTATAATACATTACACCCGTGCGAGGCTGGGGCGGGTCGCTAGTTATCAGTAAAGGTGAGAGAGAAGTCTGCAGAAGGTAAATAGGGAAAGATTTTGATTCAACTATTTTCTGTCTGTGTAATATTAATATCAAAGAACTTCGAAAATGCGTTTGAACAGGCTAGGCACACTGATTCGATGTAGAGTAGTAACTTTCGAAGTCCAATTTATAGTAATTGAAAACAAAATTGGTGGTAGGGCCACGCAACAACCTCGGCTGTTGCACGAATAGGCAGGCTCGTCCGGGTAAGTACAACGCCCTCATCGGAGACCGGCGTAAAGCGGAAGTATAATACTCTCGCGTTTTGTTTGGTGAGTGAGGTGGCCGGAGCCCAATTTCTAAAGGTTGTCAACGCATCTGCAACCCTCGAGTGTAGCAGATGTCCATGGGCGGCGGTATTCACTCAACATCGGGTGAACCGTCTGCTCGCTTGTTAATTTTTCACATAAAAAATGAAATATATATTTTTAGAAAAATCAGTGTTTAATATTTCCTTTATTATAATCACTTAAGAGCTGATGAAAAAGGGATAGGATCCTATCCCCTTTTCAAAGCAAAGGTTATAAATGTATAGGTTTCGGAAGGAGAATATTTTTTTAAGTATGATCCGCCGCCCAGACATTCGGAACTCCAAAAATGATAACGCATTCTCGGTAACAGTTTGTTAACTTCTTAATTCTTCTATAGCTGAATTGTACCAACTTGTAAACTTTCAGCGTTATGACAAAGAGCAGCTTCGCAGTTAGAGAGCTTACTCACATTAAAACAAAACAAATTGTACGATTTGTATTAGGGGTAAATCAATTTAACGTGTTAATCGAAGCATTAACAGTTGATTACGGGCAGGCTGCAATTAAGATTGCGATTTTTCAGCGATAAGACTAACAACAACTAATTAGAGACTTCGTTATCTAAACGCACACAGAACTAGTTGAGTTTCGACGTTGATAATTTAATATCAGTGTAAATGTTTATATTACCATTTCGCACATATTAGAGAATAAATATCACACGTCGGTTTGTAAACTTAATATTGGGGGTTTTGCGCGTGGAAGATATATTCCAAAGGCCATCCCAAGGCCTCTCGACATAAGCACGGTTATATTATCTAGGGTTACAAAGAAAGAAAAGAAAACATATTAGTAGAGCATAGATTCTAGGCTCTACATTTGTCAACCATGCACTGGCAACAATGTTGTCAATAAAGATGACACCTGTCCATATTGCGCGGCGTTTAAAATTTATATCGGAACAACACTTTAAACCTAATATAATCATAATATATATAATTATATATCACAGATGATATAGAACGTATATTGCGGAAAGAGATAGCAGTCTATAGAATTGCAATTGAATTACACCAATTGGCATAATGAACGAAAGACGTCACTTTTCTGAGGCACTAAAATATCATGGCACTAACAGGTACACTAGTGTCAAATCTACCTCGTATTTGTATATAATAACATTGGTAATTACGGCATAGAATATTTGTATCAAACTCGGTTAAATACCTTCTTTTTCAATAATAAATTGTTTATGCCCCAAGTACGTAAAATAATTCTTCATAATACATGTCGATCACAGGAGATGTGAAGTATCAAAAGGCAATCAAAAGAGCAGTTTTGTAATTATTTTAGGTTAAACGTTTGAACATATAACGTAATGGGGCAACGATGCCAAAATGAGTAAAGATAATTATTATAACAGTCCACATTAATGAGAATTGAGACTTTTTCTATCGATAAAACTTAAAACGAAAAAGACTTGAACATTCCTGTCAGGCAGTTGCCACAGCCGTTCTGGTTTTGAAACCATAAGAATGTAAGGCGTGGTACTATGCTTCAACGGAAAAATACGAAATATAACATTAATAACCCGCAACAATTTATACCAGTAACTTTCCTAAGAACGCTTTGCGAAAAAAAAAATATATGGACAGCTTTTTGAATTTTGTATTGGATATGTAAAGCCCGTGTAATTCATAACGGTGTGGAAGAGTAAGGCAAAGGAACGAAATGGAGGCAATAATCTGTATAACCAGTAACAAATTAGTCCAAATATCTGTTTTAATAACGTAACACGCCCAAACTAATACGTTTTAACATATCGTCTGTGGATTTATACATTTTTTTATGTAAGAAATTGGAATGCGAGCAGGCGGTTCACCTGAAGTCATAACCAATTTCTTTGGTGTGGCAGATGCTTTACCAACTTTTTGAGAGAGGACACCTGTCATCTGATTTCATTCGTCATCATCATTATTCACATCATTTCTCATTCACCAGACAAAAGTCTGGATCGAAAACGATCCCAGGATTTGTGGACATCCTTTTTGATTATTCTAATTTTTTTGATCTCTACTATTCTAGCAATTTTCTGTATCGTACAAGAGTTTATTATCACAAATGGCTTTCAGTGTACGGTTGTACTCTAAAAATTGTAGTGAAGCGTTGTGTCGTTAATTTAAGGTTCAATAATGTAGCATGTACTTAATTTTTTTAATATACAGTACATATTCCTTGTCTTGATTGGGGGTTGTGGCTAGTGTGTAATTAAAGTACGTGCCGAAAAATTTAATAATAAAAAAAAACAATAAAAATGCACTTTAAAATTGATAAAATTATCCATGTTCAAATGTTGCTAGAAATTTGATTTGTTTATTTTCCTATTTACGTAATAATTTCAATATTAAGACATACATATGTTTCATATCATGTAGAGCTGAGAAAAAAGCATGGAATCATTCCGTGGTGTTCACTTCAATCTTGATTCGTTTAAGATAACGATATTACTAAGTGCCTCCATCAACAAGATAACTTTTTCGTTACGTCACTCTTTACTCTACTAGCGCTTTGTTCAATATCGATAATAGTTACAGTTCACGCACAGATTGAATACATCTAGTGCTGTTTTCGCCGCGAAGGGTAAACACGACTGTAAAGTCATCGATTTATTACTTCGGCTTATCGGTGCTTTCCCGTTAAAGGACCGCCGCATATTATAATACAGCACTATTGGGCGGAGAGCGATTTTTGAGCGGCGAACATGAAATTTTGCATTGCAAAGTTGAGAGCCGCTTTCAATTTACGTGCGGTCATTAGCGGGATCGTGTCTACGGCTCGCCCCCACTCGACGCTCAGGTAGCGCCGGGATAAAAACACCACTCCAAATGGAACGGACGCAGCCGGCCTCACCTAGATAAGCGGCCGACTAAAGGAACTTCCAGTAAACGATCGCGAAGATTACGTTTACGAATGATTCAACCAATGTCTCTGGGAACGTTACGAAGCCCTAATCGGCCTTTAGTATCACACGGCTCGCCGATAATAACATAAATATAAATGCGCCCTAGCGTCCAATGAATGAACTTATAACATGTAAATTCGTCGTTTACAAATCGCGACACGGCAACGCGCGTAGGCGTCTCGGGGTTTGAATGAAAATAAACATTGGCGGCTGGGCATGCTTACCTCTCGATCTTAATATTATCCAGATTAGCGATATGGGCACAGCACAGTTGTATAGATATGCTAGTGGGTCACACTGAACTCTGGCATAACACTGTTGGGCACGGTTGGGACGCGGCGCGGTCGGTACGTGCACGCTGCCGGCCGGTTCGATCGGCACTGAACTCGAACGTTGGTGGCTGCGCTCGCGTCGCACTCACACATCGCCGCCCATTCAAATGGAAGGCGCGGTGATAGGGAGGGGGGGGTGACTTATGAATGGACGTAGTGAAGCCGTACAGATACCACTGATAAGGGAGCCCGAGCGCTAATATAATATGATATTGGAAGCGTCGCGAACGCAATAGATGAAGCGTTCGCCGAATAAGCGTAACCTGACGACGTTTCGAAACTCACCGCTTATTATTATATTACACCGCTAAAACAGTGTCGGAGACTATGTAAACAAATTCTTTCTAGTCAAGGTGGCCAAGTGTGGGTCTCAGATTGAAGGAAAGCTGATTCGCCTTTGGGTGTTATTTCTTTAAAGGCAGTGTTCTTAAAAAGCTTCTCTGTGCGCTACGGCGCTAAGCAAGCTTGCGTGCTCGCGCAAACTTTTCTCTACCGTGAGGGTGAAAATTTCTGTAGACAAACGAAAAATTTTACTCACTGCGGGATTTGAACCCGCATTTTCAACGCTCAGACGCTCTAACCAACTGAGTTAAGCAATCTATGTCCTCACACTGTAATGCATACAAGATGGCGTTACATGCATAGCAAATTTGCTAAAAATAAATAAAGCTCTCGTAGATAAGTTTTGTTGTGAATTTCGCGATCGTGGCGTCTTTAACCTGAGATGAGTTCACACCAAAGTGTCTCACACAACTGAGATGATGTAGTACAAAGACCATTTATGTTTTGTGGCGGTATCACCAGAGGGTCTACAAATTTGAGTCCATATGAGTCATTTCGGCTTGATGGAACTTTTAAAAAAGACTGAAGTGACGGTCGCTGAATCACTTAATAATGCCCCAGTCGTCATCAAAAACACGGTAACAACTGGTTAAAGCTAATAGAATATATATGATAGACACAAAGGTCTGGTCAGTACCATAACATCGATGCTCCTTTGATGGTAAAGTCAAAAAAAGGCAGAATTGGAGTGAGTTCTCTACGATAGCAACTGTTTCGAGGCAATCGTCCTACTGAATCTCGTGTACCCTTCTGAAACACGGGTCTTGTCATCATCATCATCATAATCATCATAATCTTTTCAGTCTGTTCAGAACAAAGGTCTCCACCACAGGATGCCACGAAGCACAATCCTGAGCCACCTGCATCCATCCGTATATACTGCCGTATATACTGCCGTATATATCTTAAATGACTCCCCGTCAATGTGAACCATCAGGCTATGTTAGGGACACGGAAATTCTGAGACGCGCTGATGTTGGAGGAAGATACTTATCCATGAGAAGACTGTGATGACGCTGCGGTGGTGCGGCCACGTCTGAAAGTGTAGAGACGGCCAATTCTTGGAGTGCAAATACGTAAAGTGTCACATGAAAGGGCCTGATTTAGATCCATCGAGGGCGACAAAAGCAGCAGACCAGCCATTGTAGACGCAAAGGTTGTTTAGTATGAGAGTATACGTAGCGTAGAGTAATACAAAGCGTGACCAACGTATGGCACGACCAGGTGTGGCCTTTCATTGTAATTACGTCGGACTGGACTTGTGACGAATAAGAACGTTAACAGAAAACATTGCCAGAAAAATCGACTGACAGTCGCCCGCACGCACTAGAGATGCTCTCATTATTCAAGTCGCTGTGGCCGAATACTATCGCTGTTCGAGGGAGACGAAAATCATTGATGACTCCGTGGCGCAGTTGCCAAGATATTGGCTTCGGCATCGGGGTCTTGGGTTCGATTCCTACACGGGTAATATTTATGTGATCCACAGATAGTTGTTTCGCATCTGGGTGTTTGTCCGCGTGAGATATATGTTTGTAAAACGTCCTTACAACACAGGACAATGTTATCTTACTTTTCATAAACCGAAACCAAACGCTAAGATTCTTAAATTATCCACTTATTGTCTTTGACCCTCTAGTGGGAATCGATAAATGGGGCCCCGCGTAAAGCCGCTCTACAAAACTGTGTATTTTTTATGCAAAACAGTGATAACCGCCTGAAAATTTTCAACACCCGTCAGTTTTATGAGTTGCAACCTTTTAAGGCCTCGGCTACCCTTCACCAGACAGAAGAATAAACCATCTACTTCACAACGGTCTCCTGTGAGCTCGTGGTACTTCCCATTCTTATCCATAAGAATACCTGCCCATTCTTAAAACAGCGTAGACTTTTGAAACTGAGTTTTCATTCTCATACGATCATGTACACGATTTATACCACCATACATCTGTTTCCACAATAGCAACACTCTATCCACCATCGATCGATTACACTAATAACAAAGCACGCATATATATATAGGTACATTCATCCACAGCATCATTGTGTAAAAGGCCCACAGAAACTGACTGTGTCTGTTGTAGATTTACGAAAAGCTAAAGATTCAATTTACCTACTTATGTGGTAAACAGTTTAGGTCTGTTATTCCAAAACTGGAAACATGTTTCAGGCATAAGCCGTAAAAGTACTGCCACCATACGATGTGCCACAAAACGTGTCTCCTTTTATATTATGTAACTCTTAAACCCCTTTGCTGCACATACGAGAAGCTCTCACTACATTCTATGGTCTACTTGTAGAGAATTCCTTTATATTAAGTTCGCCATTTTTTCTCTTTTTAAGGTTCCGTACGGAAAGGATAAAACCTTATCTCGTTGTCTGTCTGTCATCATGACTGGCATGGCTGGCTGTATCTCATAAACCATGACAATTAGGCAGTTGAAATTTTCACAGATGTATTTCTGTTTCCAAATCACAAATCCTAAAAACACAGAATAAAAAATATTTAAGTTTGGCTCCCATACAACGGACATAATTTTTTTGCTATTTCTATATATAATTATACGGAATCCTTTTTGCGCGGCTCGTGCGCTTTGAGTGCAACTCGCATTTGACCCGGTTTTTTATACATGCAATAGCAATAAATCTTAATAAATAAAACTGTATACACTGTAGTCCAGTCTCATGTAAGAATGTGTACATAATCTACACAAACAGGAACGCTGGAGAATATTGTGTACACGATCTTAGTGACGGATTGTCGGTACCATGAACCGCATACCCAACTTATACGTCCCTCAATCGACGAGTCTAAAAAACAAATGTACACATCTTGTAGTCTTAAAAGGTGATAACTGACTGTGCCCTTTATAGTTCTACGCAGTCCATATGACGGAAAGCGAAAAATCTTCCAAGAGATATTATTCCACATCGGTGTCGTCAAATTTTGATTTTTTTTTATGTGAGACGGAGGCAAGCGAGTTGGCGGTTCACCTGAGTTAAGTAATAACCGCCGCCCATTGACATTTGGCACACCTGTAGGTTTTCAGATGCATTGGCACCTATTAATAGGGTGGGCCCCGGTTACGTCATTCACCAGATAAAACGCAGAAGTATAACACTTCCACTTCACGCCGGTCTTTTGTGTGGTCGTGGTACTTCCCTAGACGGACCTGCCTATTCGTGCAACAGCGAACTGTGGCGTGGCCCTACCACAGTAGGTAGGCTGTGTCTTTTGCGATAGTTGTAAAGTTAAGGCTAAAGTTTTTGCTGTCTCGTCCACTAAAATGACAATCAGCTGATCTATCTATTATCCTAAAGGACCTACGCTGACCTTTTTACCAAATCTACACAGTAAGAATTCACACGGTACAAGTTTTTCGACAATCGATCTGCAGAATAATTCGCATCATTGAGAATATTTTTCAGCATTATTTATTTTTGTATCTTTTTACAAATTCTGTCACGTAACCAATATTATTCGAGTAATTGAAGACAAGCGACAGTTAAGTCTTTTCTCACAGTTCTTTTAACATAAAATATAAAGAAATATTGAGCAAATTTGCCAGCAATTAAATTACAATACAATGTACAATTTGCTTCAACACAATTCGCACTTCGAAAGGGCAATACAAATAAAAAACACGAGTTATCTCTCACATTTTATTATAATAAAGTCTTATTTACATATAAAGCAACGATATATTTTGCACAGATAGATGATTTATTGTCATTGATATGTTACGACAGTCCTTTGAGGAAGTTGGATAACTTATGACTCTTGTAGTCGGAGCGAAGCTGTATGAAGTTGTGTAGAATTGACTGGTCCAATTCGGCCTGCGAAAACAAAAGCTTGTAAAAACTAATAGAACTCACAGCTAAAATTTTCCACTACATAATATACTACATAAATAACTAGCTTTCCAATTAATGACAACCCGAATGGCACAGTGGGTAGGGAGACGTCACTTACGTAAGAGGGTGTAAGTTCGATTTTGGTGTACGAAATTTTTATGCTGGACGTCAAACGTGGTGACTGGTGCTATGTTTGAGCTTTCCTGAGACTCAGGCATGAGGATGGTCGCAATTAGGTATCCCGTGGAAAATATGCTACTGGAAGTGGTTTTAATTACTTTGAAAGATTTATTGAAAGTAATATTGCGACGATGTTTGCGGCAGCCACATCCACGTCCGCAGAAGCTTCCAGTAAACTAAACCGATTTTGAAGTTAATTTCAAGTGCTGACTTATCACGTGCTCAGCGTTGAAGGAAAGCATCGTGAGCAACCTGCATATTTTCGAAATCACAAAAAAAAAACATTTCAAGGATAGCGTGAAGTCTGCCAATCCGCAGTGGGCGCGTGTTGTACTATTCCGTAGTACACTATACAGAGGATGGCCATTGCCCGAGGATGCCGTTGTGGGACATTTATAGGTTGTTCCTATACTTTGCTTTTACAAACACAAACACATCATTATAGCCTGTTACTTCACTTTTACACACACACATAACACGTTATTGTAGGCTGTTCCTTTACTATACTTTGACAAACCCACACACTCACACACACATCTTTGTAGGCTGTTCCTTTATTCTACATTTACAAACAAACACATCGTCATAGGCCGTCTCTTACATCTACTTTTACACGCACACACGCACGCAGGCACGCACGCGCGTTCACACACGTACACACACTAATGCCAACACTGAGTACGCTCACCAGGGTCTCCCCTTCGCAGACCTGGTGCAGGTTCTCCGGCTTCACGAGCAGCAGGTTGCAGAGCGCGTGCAGCGCGTCGAAGAGCGCGTGCGCCGGCGGCGGGGCGGAGCGCGCGCCTCGCCCGCACAGCGCCGAACGGTACTCGCGCACGTCGCAGATCGCCACCATCGCCCCTGCCGGCGCGCAATATATAGGGCCAAGGGGTTCCGTACCCAGAGGGCATAACGGGACCCCTGTTATACAGACTCCGCTGTGTCTGTCCGTCTGTCACCAGGATGTATCTCATGGATCGCGATTGTTAGACAGTTAGACAGTTTGAAATTTTCACAGATGCATTTCTGTTGCCGCTATTACGACAAATATCATCTATCAGTTATCAGTTATCTAGTGCCTGTAGTGCAGGAGTTGCTTAGTTTGAGGCTAGAGAACGTTGTGTAAAAATGGGTCTTATAAAAATATTTATATATTTATGTGAGAAAGTGACAAGCGAGCTGGCGGTTCACCTGATGCTCAGTGATAACCGCCGCCCATTGGCAATTGCAGGACCACGCAACAGTGTTCGCCGTTGCACGAATGAGCAGGTCCGTCCGGGTTAATACCACGACCTCACAGAAGACCGGCGCGAAGCAGAAGTGTTACATACTACATTGCGTCTGGTGAGTGAGGTGGCCGAGCCCACTTTATTAAAAGGCGACAGCGCATTTGAAACCGTACGGGTAGCGCAAATGTCCATGGGCAGCGATCATCAGTTAACATCAGGTGAACCACCAGGTCGTTTGCCACTTTGGCACATAAAAAAAAGGTCCCCAATCCCCACCCACCTGCAGAATTGAACTGGAAGTTCTGCAGATGCTCGTAGATGACCCTGTGCAGGCGCACCGCCAGCTCCAAGGACACGGCGTTCAGGTTGTCGCCGTCAAGATTCGCGTAAATCTTGTCAGTGACCGTGTTCAAGTAGGAGACGACCGTCAGACAAGCCTGTAGAGACAATGTTACTGTTATTGCTTGCTTTGTTTATTACGATTATTACTATAGAATAAGAACAGAGTTCAGGCGTAGAGTAGAATAATAAATTAATCTTGTATCTTCCAAAAATGTGTAAATATAACTGTCGCAAAATTTCTCGCACGCCAGGATTCGAACCTGTGCCTTCTAAATAACGCTTACAGACGCTGTAGCCACTAAGCTAAAAGGGTCAATATCCTAATCGCGCGAAAATCTCAACGTCTTATCTAATTTGTATTTAATGCATTTTTAGCAATATTTGGCGTTTTAATATTGCATTTTTAGCAATATATTATCTAATGTGCTTCTTTCACATCAAGTATAGTTTCTCAAAATACATTACAATGAATATATGAGAATAAGATTTTGCGACAGTTTTATACATTTTTAGGTCATCCAGGTACTGGTGCTAATCTCATAAGATGAAACCTTACTAAATAAAACTAGTAATTTATAATGCAGGTGGATCAGGGTCGTGCTTCGTTGCAGTCTGTAGGGGAGGCCAATGTTCAGCAATGGACTCAAACAGGCTGAAATGATGATGATTATTATAAATGTGTAATCGCGTAAATGCAGGAAATAATTATTAGACGACAAATGGACGATTCGATTGCCGCAAAGGCGAAAAACTTTTTTTGTTACTAACGGGCGACGCGATCGTGTCGATGTCGCCTTCCGGCCTGAAGTCCGTCTTCTTCTGCTCCGTCTGCAGGTGCAGCTTGACCCAGCCGACCACCGCCGCTATGGCCCGCTCCAGGCCAGCGTCCAGCTTGTTCTCGAGCTGCTCCATCACCACTGTCTTCTTCTGCACGCACTCTGCTTGCTTCGACGTCGAACTGAAGGCATTGTCGTTCAAATCATCATCATCATAATGCATCTACCAATGTATGGAAATCAGCCGTTATAAATCACCAGGCCAACCGCCCCGGATTCATACGGGGAGCCATAATTAAACTAAAAAGATACTTTTGATTATATCACTACTAAACTTCACAAGATCACACGCTTTACCAATCTGAAGATAGCTTGTAATTTTCATCAAAATCGGTCCAGCCGTTTTGGAGACCATAGCAAATATAATGCACATTGCTTTTATACAGCGTGTCGTTACCATCGCGACAATAAATGAACACACATCTAACGCTTCATGCCAATAATCATAAAAAAATATTAAAGTTAAACAAAATCCATTAACAACAAACTAATTAAGTAAAAAAGAAACAAAATTTGTAACATCCTATACAACTCGCGCCACAGCGTCGTATTACAAGCCTCTCCTTCTAACAGTATGTTTTGTCTCTTTTAAATTCATTCAACCCATTCATATGCTTTGTGACCTCTACAAATGAACTTTACGTTACGCTTTTATAGGTGAGGGTGTTCTAAAATTCTTTGTTTTGGAAAATTTAATAACTCGGTAAATATTGATGTTTAAAGAATTTAAATGTTTAATACAACTTAAAAAAGTTACCCCTATATGTGTGTTCATTTATTGTCGCGATGGTAACGACACGCTGTATGTATATGCATGGATGAGTGAATATACTTCTTTGCCGCAGCAAAAAATGATAAATGAAAATATATAACATAATTATATAAATATAATAAATTACCTTAAGCACGGTAATACAGATTCCTGGAAGTGCTCCCCAAACATCTTGACGATTTTGTTCGTCTGGTTGACGATTTCGAAGAAGTAAATCTGTAGAAGAAACCCAACGGTATTAATGTTAATATTTAAACACATAAAGTGTAAAATGCGTAAAGCTATAATTAAAACTTATTAATGATAGTCGACTAAAATTACATAGAAATTGATACAGAATCTATACGGATAAAAAAAAATTGGAGTGTCTGTTTGTAATATTAAAATAAACGTTTTTTACTAAATGCATATAGATGTATACACGGTACATATACCAAAAGAAAATTTTTTACAATTTTTATCAGTCTGTCTGTCTGTCGGTTTGTTCCGGCTAATCTCTGAAACGGCTGGACTGGTTTGGACGGGACTTTCACTGACAGATAGCTGATGTAATAACAAGTAACTTAGGCTATTTTTATTTTAGATTTTTTTTTATTTTAAATTCCACGCGGGCGAAGTCGCGGGCACAGCTATTATACAAATAAGGCGTCAACGATGCATAATTTCAGTGATGCATATTCGTTTGAGCCGAATTAGCGGGTATGTGTGCGTGCTCACTTGCGGCGGCGACTTGTTCTCGGCGATCGGTATCGACTGTAGGCCTAAGTCCAGAGCGTAGTCAACGTGCTCTATCAGTAGATGCTGTATTACCACGTCCAGCAGCACCACAGCGGTCGACGGCAGCTCGTTGCTGGTGCAGAGCTGTTGGCGGTGGACATATTGTAAGGTCGTTGGAGTCATCAAGACTAAAGGCCCATTTACACGATGCCATTTTCTTGAACATACAAGAGCAATAATTGAATGCAATAAATTGCGCGCAATAATTGTTTAGACCATTTGTTGTTTAGACCATGCAACTCATTTATTGCTTTAATTTAATTGTATACAACAGGCAAGAAACTGGCACCATGTAAATGGGCCTTAACGCCCGGCTTCCGAAACACTGATCATCGTGGAAGATAAGTAATCAGCTGTCAAATGGCTTTTCAATGTCGTTTGAGTTGCCATCCTTTTGGCAACTGAAATGATCACAGTTTCGCATACCGGGCGTAAGACAAAGCCTGATTGATTGAGCTATTTCTAAAGGTATAATTTTCACTCTTCGATTCTTTTCGGATTTGTCCCACGGTTTCATTTTTATGGTTTCTTCATATAGTATACATCGTCAATTTTCGTTCGGGTAAGCACTGATCAAATTAACTTCAAAAAAAATATTTAAGATATTTATATTGAAATATTTAGAAATAAACGTAATGAAAAATTGACTGTCCGCCTTTTCTTATTCCGACTGTGATAGTTTAAAATGGCCGACCTAGTCTATAAAAATAAAATAAAACATAAAATGACGACATTAATATACACCAATATTACTCATCGACCTTTGGATAGAGCCATTGGCCAATTCGGTTTCGTAGAGTGCTGTCGTTCTCACACACTACTTACAAGACTTAATGCTTCGCGCGACAGAAATAACGCTATAAGCGGAAGTTAGCCGATTATCTCATTCCAAACGTCGAAGTTTAATATTCATCGCCGTTATTCATCAACAACGATATTAAATAATAAAGCCGCTTACGGTCTTACACCTCAAGAACGACATCTTGGCGTCGTTCAGCATCTTCTGGACCAGCTTCTCGCTGAGGAATGTCTCCCCGCCGTAGTTCTCTATCTGGGCGATGTTGATGTTGGCACGGGTGCCGATAACGGCTTGCAGGTCGCGGCGTAGCTCCTGGAATCTGAGGCCCCGATAGTCTTCTCTTAACGCCTTCTACTATTGTTTAATGTCAAAGGTTGTCAAGCGAGCGGGCGAATCACCTGTTGTTAACGCCCATGGACTCTTAACAGCTGAAGCCTTCTTCACTCACCAGATGAAACGCGAATAGGGACTATAGACCTCGGTTAAGTAAAGTATCAGCGTATACATGTCCCACTGCTGGGCAAAGGCCTCCTCTGTACAGAGGGTATCAGGGCATAGTCCACCACGCGGCCTCACTGCGGATTGGCGGACTTCACATATCTTCGAAATATTGTTTTTTTTTTTTGTTATAATTTCGAAAATGTGCAGGGTTCCTCACGATGTTTTCCTTCACCGCTGAGCACGTGATAACTCAGCACTTTAAATCGACAATTTCATTGATGCTGGCACTGGGGATCGAACTCAGGTTGTTCGAGTATATTAAATTAAAAGGCAAGCGCCACGACACTGAGCTATCACGGCTCAGTACCTGATACAATTTTCAACTCACTAGGTCCACCCGTTCCTGAGAAAATCGGCGGTGACACACGGACAGACAGACGGACAAGACAGATATTAAGGGTCCCTTTTTCTACCTCCTAAGGTACGGAGCCCTGAAAAGGGTGAGGATCCACGAGCTCACCCGCCCCCCTGGATCTGCCGCTTCACGTGCTGCTTCTCGCTGTAGTAGACGCCGAGTGCGTTGGCCAGCACCGCCTTCAGGCGGCGCGTCTCCAGCGCGGAGTAGCCCTCGGTGGCACCCGCCATGGCGCCGCTCACCAGCGCCTCGCGCCGCAAATCGCCCGCGGACGTGTTCCCGTCGGCGGCCACCAGGCCGGCCACCACCAGCTCCTCGCACACCCGCTGCGTGCTGCGTTTCATTCAAGTTATACCTCTTTAGGCGCGTTACGAAGAAATTATGAGGGTGAAATTTTATGATGTAACACAAAAGTGACACCTTTGAACACCTTTGAAAAACGCTTATTATGACGAGCTGCGACTACCTGCTAAACCGATATACATAAGAATATGTATATAAATTATAGCCTGTGTGTTATTCTGATGTATAAGCTATTTTATTTTAAAGTTTCATTAAAATCCATTCAGTAGTATTTGCGTGAAAGAGTAACAAGCATCCATCCATACATACACACTTACGCCTTTATAATATTAGTTACAGTTCTGAGTAAAGAATGTAGATGGCGCTTTCATAATTTTATCCATATTATTTATATCCTTTTCCAGTCTTCTTATTATTTTACTGTAATTAAATATTTGCATGCAATTAAAAACTATTATTTAATGATGCCAAAGAATTATAACTTCTCAGGCGCGTACATAAGTACACGCAAACATTTTTTTTATTTTACTCTTATTTGTTTGAATAACTCACGAGTAATTTACAAAAGTATTTGTATATTGTGTGGAAAGGGTCGGGTAGCAAGTCCTAATAACACTGCAACCTAGAAAGATCTATTGTAGATCTTTTGAAAACATTGCTCCCAGTTGTCTCGTGTGGAAATCGAACCCAATCCCCCGGTGCCGAAACCAATACTTTTTCTCGCCACTGAGTCATCATTATTTTTATTTTCTTGGAAATTTACGGCTAATTGAAAAAAGTAATATGATTACAACAAAAATGAGGGTCATTTACAAGTTTTTGCATATAAAATCCTTTTATGACCTATCATTGATTTAATACAAAGGGGTTTGCACTGGAATTTGAATTCAGGTTGCCCAAGTATTGAATTAAAAAGTCACTGAACTATCACGGCAATAATGTTTAATGTAATAACCACACACCAGCTTCTGATAGTTCACTGATGCGTAGGATCTTACAAGGAAATGCCACAGGATAACTGAGGCAAATGAAAAGTGAAAGTAACTGGCAAGTAGAGTAACATCAGGTGAAATTCCTGATAGCTTTCCCCACCTTCTCACTTATATTTAATAAGCAAACATAACCAAATGAAACAAAACCTACAATTCATAAAACAAAAAATAAAGTGAATCTTTTATAATACTAACATTTCCCTAGAATGTGCTGCGGTTCCCATTGTTTTTTTTTTATTTTTTTGTTAGCAAACAATGGCTGTAGTATGTTATAGAGGAAAAAACAGAACTAATACACAATTACAAAAACTGCTTAGTAAGAATAAACCATTTCTCACCTGGTATACATGTCATAAAGATTCCTTAGATATTTCTCAAAATCGTTCTTGTCTGCGAGCTTTGTTTGTATGTACTTTTGTAGTTTAAGGTGAAAAATATTTAAAACAAATTTGCTCATTACTTGGTCAGGATTTGGGAATACACTACTTATAATTGTGTAATTCTTCTTGCACAGTGGTAAAACAGCAGCGAATATGTCTTTACCCAATAAGGTATTCTAAAAACATGAGGAAAATAGGAATCAGAAATAAAATCCTACAATAACAAATTACTTTATGGTATAACCCTAACTACAGAGGCTACAAAAATAACTTAAAACTTAAATTCCTAACTACTTTTTTTATTTAAGTTTAGTAATGCTTTGTGTATTACTAAACTTAAATAAGAAAAATTTACTGTCTATAAAAAAAATCTAACTACCTGTTTAAAATTTATTGTTTTGCAGAGTATTTATTATTTGTGACCTGTCTTTATATGCAGCAATATATATTGAACTAAATATAAATAACAATAAATTTGCTAATCTATCAATTGGGCATATTAGCAACTCAGAGTTTGTACTTCAGACAGGAACAAATTCAAGTTAAGAGCTAATTGACCATTATTAATATAATTCCCAAGTTTTTATTAATTTGATAACTTACCATTTGGCTTGTTTCGATAAATGCATCAACACACTGTGAATACCCCTTAAAATTGGTCATAATATTAGCAATAGTCTTCATCTTCACTAAGTTGCCCTGGTTCTGTGCCTTTACAAATTCCTCAATAAGATTCCTTTCTATCTCATCATATTTAGCTTCAATCTTCTTTTTAGCTACTTCAAATTTATCTGGAGGTAGTTCTTGGGCAATTGTATACAATTTTTGTATGACATCTGCTGCTTCACTTAACTGAAAATAAATCTCAAATTGAAGTAAGCAGCATTTTTTTAAACACAGACTATATACTCATGTTTTATTTCTTTTATTCAAAAAATACATTTAATAACACGAATAAATTTTGGGCCATTAAAGGTTTCATCTACACATTTATTCATTAAAAACTAAAGTTTTTACTTTTAAAGAGATAACAATATTTTTAATTGTAGTGATTGGGAAACAATTTGAGCAAAAATATTTGGTCAATATTCCCTACCGCCTTTATTGCCCTTCAATGCCCAATTGAATGCATTTTTAAAAATGTTTCCCCAGTCACTTAATTTTGTATAATTTAAAACCACAATCAATAATTATACTATAAATTTGAAAGAAAATATAATTTTTAAAATATGTGAAAAATTTCACCTTATTGGGATCATTAAAAAGATCTGTAAGGACAGGCCCTGGATTCAGAAAGTTTGCAAGATGCGATAGCAAATCTCGAGCAGCAGCTGCCCTAGCTCTCGGAGCTCTTGCAGCACCAAGTTTCTCTCCAACCTCCAGAGCTCTTCCTCCACACCGAGACATTCGTTCATCCAGAGAACTAAATACAGTCACACAATGCTGAAAATTAATAGATGTACTATGTAACTCAAAATGATATATATAAATTAAAATCTTTAATTTAACCTAACTGTGATTAAATAATAATTAAGTACTTTATATTCATTAAGGGCCATACTATCTCAGGCCAAATCCTGGCCTTTAATTCAATTTATTTGAGCAACCTGAGGATAACATAGTGAGGAAACTTGCTTATTTTCAAAATAATAATATAATATATATTTTTGAAGTCTGCCAATCCGCCACTGCATCCACCATGCGACCCCACTGGGTCACATGGTGGACTATGCACTGATATACTCTTTAGAGAGGAGACCTCTGCCCAGCAGTGGGACATTTAGATGCTGTTACTTTACTTTTACTTTATATCAAACAAAGTAAGATAAAGATTTAAAAAAATATTTTAAGAGAATATTTCTGTTTGAATTTTACAGTGTAATGAACTTACTGAATGTTGATCCATGATTTCAGAAAGCTTAGCACCATATTGTTTTTCCTCTTCTTGAACTGCTTGCTCTAATCTAGAACATTTTCTTTCCTGTCGTTCTTGCAAGACCTAATTTAAGCAAATTCACATATCATTGATAGCATAAATAAAACATTAGAGTGATAAATATGAAATCATATAACCATAAAAATATTTAAACATTTAGTATAAATCACTGTCAATGACCCAATTGGCATAGTAGATACTGAACTCTGCCTCTTGTGTCAAAGGGTGTGAATTTTATCCCTATTGTATTTCTTTATAAAAGAAAATTCATTAATATTAGTAAATTATGAAATATTATTTTAAAGGATGTGAGCCTTCTATGTACAAGTAGCATAGTCCACAAAGCAACCCTTCTTAGCTTGTTTTCTAGTCCCCCCCAATGTTGGTTTATCATCATAATTTTATTAAAAACCCCATTAGTGGTTGCGATTAAATTTTTTGCAAACTTGTATTGCTTAGTTGAATGAAGTGTTAAAGTGTTTGGAAATTAACTACCATTTCTACATGTTGATACAAACAAAGTATTTAAATATACGCATGTGATAAGTCAGCACTTAAAAATTAAGAATTTCATAGGTGCAGGTACCAGAGTCACAGGTTGCTTGATTATATTGAATTAAAAGGGAGCACGCGGACAATGAGCTATCATGGCATATCACGTGCTCAGCGGTGAAGGAAAATATGGTGAAGAAACCGGCATTTTTTCAAAATAACAAAAATAAATATTTTTAAGATATATGAAGTTCGCCAAACCACAGTGGGGTCGCGTGGTGGACTATACCTCTAACATCCTCTGTACAGAGGAGACCTTTGCCAAAGGGGGATATATAAGCTATTACTTACTTTCAAATCTTGAATCGCTTGAGTAAAAATATCATGTATCATTTCGGGGTCGAATTCGTCATCTTTAAGTTGGGATTCTTGCATACTTCTGCGTACCATTCTTTCGACGAACTCATCAGGATCATATGGATCCTAAAATTTATTAAGTTTATAAATTAGCATCGTATATCCTATAAATACAATTTTAAGTACATTAGGTAAGTAGCTTACTTGTTCCAATTCTTTTAAATATTGGTTTATCATTTTATAAACCTTAAAATAATTACTTCTATATAAAATAGGTTGATACGCCACGCCCCTTTATTACAATTTTGATTGACTTCAAAATCTAATTACTAGCAGCAACCATAATTAAAAAATTATAACAATGATCAATCAACAAAACTGTTTATTGACATCAAGTGTCAAAAATGACTTTTGAAGTACCGTAAAACGGGGTTAAAAGAAACAATATGGACTATCGAATGCAAATTAACTATATAAAAACAATGTTTATGGTATTAAATCTGCTTTGATCTTGGGAGTCTTACTATAAATTATAACCTTATTTGTTTAAAAATGGTAAATTATTTGAACCTTGTGAAAAAAACTCCAAAAAACAGGCCAATTTCCATTTGCGCGAAATATGGGGTTAATAGATACGGCATATGGGGTTAATAGAAAAAAATTACAGGGTTGTCAAAATATTATACTCTAATACTATGACGGCATTTTATTTAATATATAGTATTATATATATATAGTAGAGAATAATAATATAGTAGAGAGAGAAACCTAATTGAGAAACTCAATTACATATATATAAAATTGAATGAGAAATGATTGAGAAATATGGTTGTAAGAAAAACTTTATTGAAACGCTAAAAGAACATCAAACAAAAACATCAACAAACAAACTGAGCATAATGTTATCATTTATACAGTAAATCAATAAACTATTACGAAACAAACACACATATATAAATCAAATCACAACAGTTTTTTTGAATTCTCCCAAAATATTGCTTTATGCGTTGTTTTCTAGGGCGTCCATCAGCATTACAAGCAAGAGCGGAAAACTTCCTTTCGGAATACTTGCTTATTGTCGACCATCTGTTTTTTTTCCACTAGCACAATATATTTCGCCAAGCAGTTTTCATCGGTTTAAAAAATGCTACATCCAATGGCTGAGTAATGTGCGTTGTGTTAGCTGGCAGAAATATGAAATGTATTTTTTCTTTATGACACAATTTTGCAGTCCAAGTATCATATCTGTGCCTCCTGTGATCAGTGATACAAGTTAAAAATCAACATTTTACAGGAGAGCAAAAACAAGATTTAAAAAAATCTAGTTCATGAAGTGGATAGACTAGGACAAAATTTTGTACACATTCATATAGATTATAACATTCTCTTTCATCCTGTATTACAGTTTTGTTAAAAAATTATATAATTTATCAGTAACTCGAAAAAAACATTTGAATTGTACCTCTGTAAAGTAAAATATTGGCAAAGAAGATGTGTTACATGATATGAGTAGTGTGTTAAACCATGTTGCACCTTATTATAGTCTTTGTGAAAACTGATATACGTGTAGTATAAAAACAAAAATAACTTATTAGAACCTCTTCCTATCATAATTGTTTAACCAAATAAAAAATAAATGAAACATCTAGATTCATTTTTTATTGTGTATATCCCCCTGTTGTGATAATTTCTTTAAATTGTATCAATTAGCTAAAATCCTCGTGATTTGAAACATGTGTTATATGATACAAGTCAAATTATACCTGACTTGAAAAATTATATTGATTGTGTAAATTAATACAACTATTCAAAAAATAATAAAAAACATATTGTACTTCTCCTAAATTATTCTTATCTCATGATTAAATAAAAATTTATAAATTATATATCTAGGATCGGTCATAACAGATATCACAATAGGTACCTTTCAGTACTTACAGGATATTATGATCATTATCTTAATCCCAAATAGATTAATAAACATAGAGAAATTAACAAAAAATCACAACAAAATCAGAAAATACTTATAAAAATCAGTCTTCAGTGTTAATAACATATCTGTAGTTTTCGTAAATCATATTCTATAGAATAATCGATTATAAATCGACTATCTAATCTACTTAGAATCATTGTCATTGTCCGGAAGAGAGACTTTAACGTTTTTTTTTTATGGAAAAAGGAGGCAAACGAGCATGCGGGTCACCTGAGCTGGTATTTCGGTGCCCCAGCCCAGAGGTGAGAACAGTATTCCATGTGCAGTCGAATCTGTGCTTTGTAAAGCTGCAAACGATGTGCCGGTAGGAAATACTGTCTCGCTCGGTTTAGGATACCGAGTTTTTTTAGAAGCCAGCTTGGCTATTAATTCCGAATGACCGCGATATTGAACGTCACCGGTCACTCTTACAGTTTAGATTTCTATGAAAGATCAATTTAGATCCTTCTTCTTTTCTGTTGAAATGGTAATCTTGGAATGGTGAGCTTTTGGTACCGTATAAATTCCTACCATATAGTACACTTTTCCGCGTTTCGATAAATTCATTAAATATTTCCACCGTCTTTGAGCTCTTTTTTGTAAGAAATACAGGGAAAATTGCCTTAAAGATACATGACATACTCGATATGACATCAGACTACAGAAACTTTTTTAATGTCTGTAGTTGTTTTGGGAAGGTTATTGTTTAAAAAAATACCGAAGTAGTAAAACATATTCAGAGTCATTTCGATCACAGTAAACTTTGCAGATTTATTTGAAGCTGTGCAGACCAGTAGCTACCAATCTCTTGGCAGGTGAATATCTATGCCCGTGTGCTTCTTTTTATGCTCAATCAGCGCATGGTCACTGTCTGCTTCCATGTCAGTATGGCTAGGTACTAGAAATTTATGTTCGATGGATTGTATTTGATATTAGGTATTAACTTTTCTAAGTTTCTCGCATAAAGTCTGAAGATACGTAGTCAAAAGTCTTCAAAAAACATCCTTGCGAACATCCTTACAAATTGCGTGTCTTGTTATGATCAAACCCGTGAAAGAAGTATCGAAAAAATCTAGCGTTCCGTTTTTTCTTGGGATATTTGGACGTCTTTTTTTTTGAAATTCCAAGACTCCAGTATGTTTTGAACAGTGTTCCTTAAATGAAACGGTAGTCTCTCTTTGCATTTCTGACGATAGTTGTTTAAGTCACGAGTTCTTCTTGTTTTTCCTGATGTTGTTGTATATTTCGAGGCAGTGTTACAAAATAGTTTATTTATGTGAGAAGGTGGCACGCGAGCTGTAGGTCCACGTTATGTTAAGTGATAGCCACCGGTCATGGACATTTGAAACTCCTGTAGTGTTGCAGATACGTTGCAACCTTTTAATAAAGTGGGCTTAGTCAGTCATTTCACTCCCGCACATAACCGCCACACTCAGGTGAGTGTTTTAATTTGTATCATTTTACACTAAAGTTCGTAGTAAATACTTTTTAGAAAATGTTTGCATTTCAGTTACAACTCAATTTATTTTAGTGTTCAGATAAGAATAGATATTGTGTGAAATGATGCATGTTGAGATGTATCATTCAGCACATAATTAGGCGAAATTAATATTCAGATCGGTAAGTACATGTCAAGTTGTACCCTGCAAATAACAAAATAAACTTAGGTTCAAGTTGATGTAACTGGAATAAAATTATTATTCACGAAATATCATTAGAAAATCAAATGTGAAAATTGATATTATAGTAATTATACCACAAAGTACGAAAAAAATTTGTGGAGTGATACTTTACTGGTGCTATATCACGACTAAAATCAAAATTCACGATATTTTCATCCAAAATCCCATTAGTTATATCACTTTGCACAAAATTATCTCGCGATCTATAGCAGATAGAAACACGTGAGTAAGACCCAAAGCTAGCTTATTTTTTACTGATTGTTTATGTGTTAAAATCAGAAAAAGGGTACAACTCGAGTTGTATCACTGATCACAGGAGGCACAGATATATATGCTGCGCCTTGTACACAACATAAGGATACAATAGTTCTTCCTCTGCTGTGCACGCGATCATGATAGAATAGGCAGACTTGGAGTGGTTTATCACTAGTTCCGCATATTTTACGCCTTTTTTTGTGATTATTTTTTTACGGTCAGGGTCAGTCATCAGAAGGGTTGGTTTCGTCGTAATTAATGATGTTGCACATCGATACACCATTCAGTGATATTTCCAATTCTTCAAAATAATTTTTTATAATTTCCGGTGAAACAGCAGATCTATTTCACGTGGCATATTTCAGTCAGTTTACCTGCATATGAAATAAAAAAAAATAAATATAGTTACATACATGAAACATTTTATATATTTCTACACTTATGAAATTTAGTTTTCCGACTATTTTTGGGACGTAGTGCAGAATGAAATATTGAAAAAATCTTAATAATTTAATTATATATTTAGGTAGGGATTTTTCTAATTAACATAAGAACCCGACTGTGTTCTATACACTTGCCGACATGAAATCAAAGTAAGTGACAACCCTAACCAAACTAGTTCTAAAAACCCCCTTGGCGTTTCTATTTAGACCTTCCTCGATTCCATTCTCCCCTTTCCCGTTTCCATTAACCCCATAGGCCGTTTCTATTTACCCCTCAGTCGTCTCTATCCACCTCTAAATTGAAGAATATTTAAGTGTGTTGAGTTTTTATACAAAATATATTAATAATCATACTAATCAGAACAACTTACCTTTAGAGATTGTACACGGTGAAATTCACCATTAGACAAATTAATTTTTTGTTCGAAAGCACTTATTATCTTTTTTTATAAAAGAAGTTAGAAAGAGCGTAAAATCACACAAAAAAAACCGTTGTCGTTTGAAGTCAATTTTTCAAATATGTTGCTAACTTTAACCTCTCCAAGTGTTGTCAGACAAAAGAAAATATGTTGCCATTTAAAAACAAATATAAATAATTGACATTTCTGTAGTACTTTTTGAATCACGAGGTTTTAGAAATTTTCCTAAAAATATTTCTATTTACCCCGTAAATTCTATTCACCCCGTTTTACGGTATACTATGCTGTCGGTTGCTAAGTCGAGATAGATAGCTCGAATAACTCGAGTTGCCCTTTGAACTTGTTAGCTCGATTTGCTATTCTTTAAACTTGAGTTGATTTGGATCTCATATCTGTAGACAAGCATCACGATAAATCCAAAGCTCGCATTGGCAACAACTCGGTCAGAGACCGAGCTGAGCAGAGTGAGCGAGTTAACAAGTTGTTCCGTAAAAGTGTTAGATTGAAAAAGAAACTACGGTCTGCGGAAGTACATTGCTTAATGTAAAATAATCATCCAGTTTTTTACTTAATAAGCTACATGCTTCTATTTTACCTTGCTTGTAACGCCAGTTACTAGACTTCATAGAGTAAGTAACTCGTTCATGGGACTCATCTTGAACGGGCTCTTGTATTATAATGAAGAGCCCGAGTCAATGATTCGTAATTGGGCTCCGAGTCAAGGTGCCGTCAAAGATCATTTCAAATCGATTGACTAAAATATAATATGAGTTGAGCCCTAAATTACTAGAATGGTGCTAGTGTACCATAAGATATTAAATGGTCAATAATTGGTAACGAACTAGAGTTATAACGCTTTCTTTGAAATCTAGAAATATTGGTACAGGAAAACCATATAAGATAAGTATATATTTTTTTAATGGGTGCGTTCCATATATTAGGTATAATACTCCATAATTATGTACTCTTTACATCCCCAACTTTATTATTTGTTTGATTGTCAATTTTTTTTTGCATTAATCCAAATCTCTATCGCAAATAAGAAATTGATTAGGTATCATAACTAAATTCAGTTACACCTTATACACATGAAATGATTGATTTTAATTTATAAAAAATTACGAACAGTTTAACAAGTAAAGTGAAGTACCAACCTTATCAGTTATAGGGGCACATTATAAACGGATTTTAAGCTATATAAAATATATTATTTCTCGAAAACCCTGGAATTCTTTTATGTTTTCTTTACAGCATAAGGTAAAATATATATTATATTATTATATTAGTAATTACGGGATGTATCCGAGTATCGCTGCAATTGCGTATAAAGAAACAAAAAATCTTAATTATATTAAAATCTTATCCCATAAAATAATGAATGAAGCCTCTAAATAGCTCATTGCACTACTACCCTTTTCTATTGTAACGGATAGTACGAAGCTATTTAGCCTTAGAAAAACCAGTTTATTTGAAGAAACACTTTATAGCATGGTAAATATTTGGAAAAAATATTTGTTATGCCTCCTTTTTAGTTTTCATCTTCCCTGACAATATTAATTTCAGGTAACGTGAAAACTTTCATCTTGAGAATTTAACTTCATTTTTATTACTATTGTTTGTAACATTAGTAATAAAAATGAAGTTAAATTTTATATGTGCATATTAGATAAGTGGGCCTCGTTTGGATGAATATTTTGTATGTTGTATTTTATGTTTTTAATGGTTAATTTGTAATATTTGTGATGTTTTTTTTTCTTTTTGTATTTTAATATGATAAAATGTAATTTTAAATGTGGATGTATATGAGTCTTAGTAACTTGAAATAAATGATAATAATAATAATAGCAATCCAGAATTTTTTATTGTAAACTAGTCTAGTGTCTAAATTCAGACTATGTCGATCGTATTATATCTATCTAACATAACCTATTTATACAATCAGATATTACAGGCAAGTTTTAAAGACAGGGCTTTTGATTTTAGAAACAAAAGAAAAAATCATAAATGTAACAATTACGTCTTTTTGGAAGATATCTTACTAGTGAAAAGAGTTTTTTATATCCAAATTTTTTGTGATGTAATATTTTGACAAAATCTTGTGCGTGCTATTAACAATTTATTTTATTTACTCTCTTTCATGAGAGTTCAGTGGCAAGTTAAAGTAAACGTAGACCGGACAATTTGACAGAAGAGTCACCAAAACTATTGGGTATATCGTGAATAGTGAGATGTCCAATGTATCCTAACCGGGTTAGGATAAAATCTATAGACCTCAATGGCTGAGCGCCTCAGCCCTCGAAGCTCCGAGGTCAATGCCTTGGAACAACGAGGATATCTCATTGGCAAGAAAATCGGACAAGGTTCTTACGCCACTGTACACCTGGCGGAATATTGCGATGCATCCAGCCCAAAGCGTATGCACCTGGCGTGCAAAATATTCGACAAAGAAAAAGCTCCACGTGATTTTTTAGAAAAGTTTTTCCCCCGTGAACTTGACATCCTCACGCAGATTGAAAACCCGCACATTATCCAGGTACACAGCATCCTGCAGAGGGGGCCGCGAGTATTCATATTTATGAGATATGCCGACAATGGTGATTTGCTCGATTTCATAAAACGCAACGGTGTCGTACCAGAAAACCAGGCGAAGCTGTGGTTTCGGCAGATGGCTAGTGGACTCCACTACTTGCATAGTAAAAACATTGCCCACCGCGATCTTAAATGCGAGAACATATTACTATCGAGGCGTTTTAACGTCAAGCTAGCTGACTTTGGTTTCGCAAGATTTTGTACTGATGGAGAGCACAGGCGCGTCCTGAGTCAAACCTACTGCGGATCAGCCGCTTACGCGGCTCCGGAGGTGGTGAGTGGTACACCGTATAACCCGAAGCTGGCGGACGTGTGGTCCCTCGGAATAATCCTCTTCATAATGCTAAACGCGTCGATGCCGTTCGACGATTCGAACCTGCGCAAACTGCTCAAGGACCAGATGTCACGCAACTGGGTGTTCAGGTCTAGGATACGCGACACGGTGACAGCCGCCGCTAAGTCGATCGTGCGCCACATTTTAGAGCCGGACATCACTCTGCGATTGACTCTGGACCGTGTACTTGCACACGAGTGGACTAGACCAAGAAAGGACAAGAGCGCCAGTCTAATGGGTCGATTGGTACAGTCCGCACCGTCCCCGCCCTATGCTGGGGGGAAACGCGGGGAGCACGAAGAGGCCGGTCCGTCTGCAGGGGTGCGCGTGTCCGGAGACCACCGGGAAACTGACCGCGAACGCCATGACGACATCAACATGCGTTCCCGCGACTAATGTCATAGTCTACCCGCTCAGCAACAATCAGTGCCCGAACGAAAACTTTGGACCTTCATTAACTATAAATTCACTTTTATTTTGATTATTTTTTTACAATTGACGACGTGACTATTGTTAGCCGTCAATAGTGAAATATTTTTATTAATACGCGTTGTTTTATTATTATACACGTTGGGTTTATAAAGATTACCTAAGTTTCAAAAAGACATGAGAGAAACAAATTCTTAATTTTTCACGTGAAACTCAATGGACTCTGCATAGGCACCCAGAATCCAGTTATTTTATATTGAGGGTGTAGAAACGGAAATTTAATGCAGAATGTCACCAATCTTTCTGTGGGATCGTATTGACATTACGATGAACACTGCATTTAACTAATTTCTATTCAAATATACATATAAAACTACTTTTACTTGTGACTGAAAGTTAATCATTAGGATAAACAAACATATTTACGGTGTTTGAATTGAACTAAAACGGATTCACAACAACCGCTTATCATCTGCCTTTGGTCGTCCATGCTGGACGTAGCCCTCTCCATTATTCTAATCTTCATTCCATGATAATCATCTATTACTTTTCGGACTTTCTTAGGTAGTAGGTACAGAAACGTATCTAATGCTTCAAAAAACATACAGAACGTAGGTAATGTAAATCTGCAGTCAACAGACAATCATTGTAGGTAATTGATTCAAAAGAGAATGGATAATAAAAATATACCTCCGATAAACTCCATAATCGGAATACATAAGGACCATCATTGATGCGTTTCATCTAACGTTTACCGTCCTTATTTTTTTGGTATAAACAATAACACATTCGGATTTTTTTAGCTTTTTACAATCATCGGATTGATGAAAATGTAATACCAAGGATATTCATTTTATGTTCTTTTTATTTATCTGATGATGTTGCATTCAGTCTTTAGACTAGTTAAGCTTCATTAAACGCAAAACTCATGGGCTATCCAGAACCCATGAGCTTGATACGACCCTCCATATTGGCTAGTGACACGCATGTGCTGCTGCGTGCGCCATTTTAAACAGAAAGAATGTTTTGTACGGATCGTGACCTCATTGACTGTATTAACGGTGGCTGGGGGCGGTGAGAACCGCCTGAAACGCGGTCCCAGGCAGTACCGTCTTTACCATAAGGGCACACGGGGCCCGTGCCCCTGTCGTCAAGCGGGCCCCGCATGGTCTACGTATTCGCTTACACTATAAATTTTCTTCTCTATTTTTGGTAGATATATTCTGGCAGAAGCTTATACATATAATAAATAATAAATATAAGATAATAGCAGAAAAATGTTTTTGTCATTCACTTTTTTTACTTTCCCTCAGGGCCCCATAGTGTGGCCCTAGGGCCCCGATATGGCCTGAGACGGTATGGGTCTCGAGGATATCATTACTCGTAGATACATCTCTGTGTGTGAAGTCTTGTCATGTGGGTTAGAATATCAACCTATAACGAATCGTAGTTCTTCGCCAATGATCACATTAAAACCCACACACAGCGTTCACAAGGTGTACACTTACCCAGGTGTAGTTCACAAGGATTACCCGCGTGACATATTTATAGTACAGCTGAGATATTACGATCCAAATACCGAATATCATTGGATCGTATTCACAAATCTTCTCGTTTAGTACGCATGTCCACTTGCGTATGCATAGCCTTTTGCCTTTGTGCCTGGTGAAGCTTTATAAATTCCACAGACTGAAAGAGCAAAAAAAATCAGTCATGAAGAAAAATAAATAAAAATATCCTGAACTCGTATGTATGACTTTATATTAAAGCTTTAACTCTCTTAAGCTCTTCTAAGTAGACTTCACATTAGGTATTTGTTGTTTGGCGTAGATGTTAAGATAATGACTTCGGTGCTTAATCGAAATTAAGCAAACCTGTTTTACTCACGGTATAGGGGCGGATGGATATGATTTCTTTTCATTTATAGAATTCGCTGAGAGTTTTTTTTATTTATTACTGAAAAAATTGTAATTAAGATTTTATTTAAGATTAGTTTTCTGGTTAGTTTTGTTGTCGACGTAAGGAATTGAAACAATAAATTAAGGGTGCCCAAATAACAGAGGCTCTGTATCCAAAATTGTTATTTATTATAAAAAATTAAACTTTAACTCCTTTTACGATGATATTGTAACTTGATTGAGAAATCTGTGTCCAACTATACTTTATGGTAACTCTGTGGTATAAATTGTCGTAGTCCACTTTTGGGGGTGAAAGAGCGGTAACAGTAATTTTGACATAGGTTACAGTAACGCCATTAGGGACCTGTAAAAAAAAGTAAAGAAAGCTTTAAAATTGACTTACGTACGTCGAAATAGTGTATCAATTTGTAGTCTTTTTGTAATCGGAAAAATCCTGTATACATATACCTATGCATTAGTTTAATTTTTTCGTAGGTTTACCATAATTATCTTCATAAGCCGATAAAAAATTAGTTCATATATTTTTATTTGGCCTTAAAAATAACATCGCAAAGGTCATCACATATTTATTTTTAACAGATTAATTGCAGCACTATATTATAAGGACACGAAGGAGCTTGAATATAATAAGAAAAATAACACACCATTCGCATAGACAAAGGTATCGTAGCCTATTGTCTAATCTAAAACTACCTTGTTCATTCCCTCCATGGTGTGCTTATTCAGTGGTAGGTCCAAAGAGGTTGATGATTGGGCAAAAATATAAGAAAAGAGTTAAAATGTAAACATAAAAATTACTTCTTATACTGTTCTTCAATTTTAATTCAATGGGTTAAAGTGGACTATACGAAATTATTAATAAAGCCAGTACTCACAGGAATATCAACTGTAGTCAAGTATTGGAATAAGTAAATACTGCCATCTTTTGTGTAAATCACCTCGCCTTGATCAACACCTTCAAAATAAATAATTTTCCGTTGTAATTGGTGTAATTAAAGTAAATTAATTTAAACGATTAAATAATATAATAAAGTAATACCACATATTGTATACATTTTTACTTTTATTTGAGAAGATGGCAAGCGAGCTAGCGATTCACCTCATATTAAGTGATATCCGCCTGTAAAAGGAGAGTACGGTTACAGACGCGTTGCCACCTTTTAATAAAGTGCGCCCCTGTTACCTCGTACCTGCCCATTCGTGCAATAGCGAAGACTGTTGCGTGGCACTACCACAGCCAGTCATAGTTGGTAACATCATACATTATATTTTGGGAGTGACCTATCTTTGCAACATACCACACCTTATTTTTCTAGAAACTGAGAAAATGCTTATTAGTCACTCGTATGACTTTCGTCTATAATTTTAGCGTGTTAAGTCCGCGCAAAACTTTTCTATGTTGCACGAATAGGAAGGTCCGTCCGGGCAAGTACTGTGTCCCCTCAGAAGTTATATTTTTGCGGTGAGTCAGGTAGATGTGGTCCACTTTTTTAAAGGTTGTCAACGCATCAACAAGTCATCTGATAAAGATATGGCCGGAGGTATTTATTCCCTTAAACACCAGTTGAACCATCTGCTTGCCTGACAACTTGTTACGTTAAAAAAAATCAAATAAAACCATCGGTACACACCAAATTCAAAAACGTAATCAGAACTTAATCCAACAGCGATTGGAATCAACAGCACGATAATTGTGCTTATTACAAACTTCATGTTAACAACCGCTTATATCGGTATTCCAGAATGCACTGTATATAAAGAAAAAATCTCAATCAATTTTAATTGCTGTATTAGTAACAGCGAAAATAATTTAAAAATTATCCACGGATTAATTACTTTGGCGAATTGATTTATTGTGTATATTAATACATACAATTAACGATAATTTTTTTCAGCTAAAAACAGTCAGCAAAAGTAGATCTTATAGTGTTCGCTTGAACTTGAACATTTCGAAATGATTTACCTACCTTGAATACTTTTAAATAATAGAGAGCTTGCCACCTCTTCAAATTGGGTCCATCTTGTCCACGAAGTATTAATGTTCGAACTAGTATCCGTTCCTTTTAATACATCTTCTCACTCAATAGAACCACTGAGAAAAACAGTAGGCCAATTCTTCCATAGGGGTCTTTTTTATGGCATTTTGGAACGCACTCAGCGAATCTTCGGGGCTTGTTAAAATAATACCTCGATGCTTATGTTTGATTCTTGGGAATTGAAAGTCGCACGGCGCCAGGTCGGGGCTATATGGCAGATGACTCATTATCTCGACAGCTGCCGTAGTCAAGTATTTAATTATTAGTTTCGTGGAGTGCACTGATTCGTTGTCGTGGTGAAGGAGGAACCCCCTTCGAGGACGCTGCAGTCGAACTTTTTCGAAGACAACAGGCAAACAACATACTATGCTGGAGTAACTGTTCTTCCATTTCCAGCACAACTGTCGTGAAATGGGCAATGAAATGAAAAATGACAAAGAAAGAGGATTCCATCTTTTTTCCTTGATTGCTTCCTTTCTTTACTTTTGGCCGATCCTCAAAAGGAAACACCAAATGAGCAGATTGTCTTTTGGTTTCGGATTCGTAGAAATATATACAGTTTTCATCATCTATGACAATGTCTAGTACAGCATTAGGAATATATTTTTTGTTAATTATTTCGAAAATATGCAGGTTTCCTCACACTGTTTTCCTTCATCGCTGAGCACGTGATAGTTCAGCATCTAAAATTAACAATTTCATTAGTGCCGGCACCGGGGATCGAACTCAGGTTGCTCGAGTATATTGAATTATAGGCGAGCGCCCGGACTCTGAGCTATCACGGCTCTTACTTACTTAAGCAAGTAAATATCATTAAACCAATTTTAAATAGAGGCACGGGCTGGGGCTTCATTATTTTATATATTTATTCAAAGGCCAAACGAAGTCTGTCATAGCTTTGTTATTAAGTAAGACGACAACGAAAGTCATAAAAAATCATGATAATTTTCTCGCGTTAAATTCATTTTGAGGTGTAAGAAGACTTGGAATTGCCGCCAATTCACGAAAACAAAATGACAATATGCAAAATTTTAAAGAAGTTTTCAAGCAATTTTTCCAACTGGCCAGTTGCAAAATCTTTCAGTGTCACAGCGGTATGATCCTATGTCTACGAATATAATCTGTATTTATAGTCAACCACTGCAATTAGTACAATGCCAAAGTAATCTTTGTAGCTGAAGTACATTGATCCATTACAAGCAGGTTTTTTTCAGATTCTTATGTGCTTTCCGTCAATTGCACCTAGACAATGAGGAAAATTTGTCTATCTTGCAAAATCATCCAATATTTTAATTTATTCATTGTCTGAAGCAGGCCTTTGATGATATTCTCCGTGAATAACATACAACCGATTCCAGCAAACATCCCGTATGATCCCACTTATATTCGACACAGGGTCTGTCAACTTTGTTGTATGAACAGAATGTATGAGGGCCAGAAAACAAGAGAGAGACAACGATATCAAAGTAAAAGAGATGAATTTAGACATTTATATGATGTTGCCACCAAAAATACAACTTCGTATTCTCCATAATAATGAGTTAAAAATTGATTTTTAAACTAAAAACCCTCGAAGATATCTTGGAGCCGTCATTCTTCTCTTTGAGTAAAAGTGTTCTGTGAGTCGATACTTCAACTTTATACGAAGAGTGTAATCTTAGTCTTTCATGAAACATCCTGGTGCAAAATACTTGAAAAAATAAAAGCAGTATTCGGTATAGCTTACAGCTAAACCGATATAAGTCATCTAACAATATCTAAGATATTGCTCAATGACTTATATAAAATAAATAAATAAAAACAAACACATGAAAAATGTTCCATTCAAGCAGTACTTATATTACTTTTTTCAAAAATTTTAGGTATGTATTACGCAGTCGAGTCTTTCGCAAGTGATACTTCTTTAGAATCCTTGTGATTTGAAACTTACTTTGATAACTGAAACTTACCTTGATTTGAAATTGCGTCACGATAATGAGGTAAACATTTATAAATATAGGATTTAGTCGACGGGAGGATGAGATAGAATACATTACACTGTATTTTATATTCTAAGTCTCCACTTTGTGCTCCGTAGTTGTCTGCCATCCATGATGTGAACGTCTGTATACCGCAGGCAGAGCTAAAACAAGAGAGCAAGTGTATCTTAAGTACATCCTGCTTTGCAGTCCTGCACGGCGGACTGCCAGGCAGGATACTGGATAGTGAATGGGCCCCTTTAAGTATCAATGCACTTCAGGTCAAGGCTAAACAAAATTTAAAGACATCATTAATACCATGATTCGTATTTAAATGAAACAGAGTTTTTTTCCATGCTTTTAAAATTCAAAATTGCTTAACTTATTCATAAAATCTGTTTGAAAATCTGATATTGTGCATTGTTTGCCGTACCCCTCTAACTAGTGTGATTTGTATCTCACGCGCTTTTTCGCTCGCTACGGCTCAAGGCTAATGCTAAATAAAAGAATTAAAAGATATCGTAATCGTTGATACCATCCTTAGTATTTAAATGAAACGGATCTTATTTGCATGCTGTTAAGATTCAAAATTACTTAACTTATTCATAAAATCTGATATTGTTGCCGCACTGCTCTAACTAATGTAATATTTGTATCTCACGCGCTTTGTCGCTCGAAATCTGTTTAAAAATCTGATATTGTTGTCGTACTGCTCTAACTAGTGAATATTTGTATCTCACGCGCTTTGTCTAAAAATCTGATATTGTGGCAAACGCGTATGATATTGCGATTCGTGTTGGTATAGCCTCATAGACACTAATGAGCGAGTATTCGGTACATCAGATTTCGGAAATATCAGATATTGTAAAATACATAGATTTTGAACGAGCCAGTAAGCGATTTTTTTAGCGTCATGGGGGTCATGACCCCCCCCCCCCCCCCCCTGGTCTGGGTCCAGGACCTAGGTGGACTACTAATTGTTAAACAATGTTTTTATATATTTTTTGCCACAATATACATTTTATGAAACTACCTTCAATATTTAATTAAATTAATATAATATTTTAACCGACTTCAAAAGGAGGAGTTTCTCAATTCGATTGTTACATTTTTTTTTTCTATGTATGTACACCGATTACGTTGAGATTTATGATCCGATTTACGTGATCCTTCTTTAGTTTGATGCAGAATAGTTACCATTTGGTCCCATAAAAATTTACCATAGTTAGGCCAAGTAGTTTTCATTTTCTGAGCATTTTTACAATATTTTAATGTTTGTCATCAAACCTTGCAAATTAAATTTGATCTACTTCCCGGTTACCGGTTGAGCTGAAATTTTGTATACATGAGTAAATCGCGAGACAATGCAATATTTTTATGACATGGTGCTGATCTGATGATGGAGCTGGAAGGAAGCCAAAGGAACTTCGCAATGAAACGACAGAGCCTCATTGCGTCTAGGTTAACTTACGTTACGTTACTTTTAAATCGTATTGACGAGCAGTTTGTCATTCATTGGTAACCAGGGTCTGATGATGGAGCTCCATCTTCAGCCGTCCATGGACATATGCATAGGGTTGCAGATGCGTTTTCTCCTTATAATAAAGTGGGCTCCGGCTACCTCACTCACTAGACAAAAAGCAGAAGTACTTTACGCCGATCTTCTGTGAGGTCTATGAGGCTATTCTGTGAGGTTCCTATGACCATTCTCTAATGAAACGTCTCAACCCCATCGGGTTTCGGCTCGTTTGATTCGTCTTCTAGTTCTTTGGTGCTAGTGCTCTGGTAACCAAGGTTTAATGACAGAGCTGGGAATGTGGCCATAGGAACTCAGTAATTAAGAAACACAACTGCGTCGAGTTTGATTCGTCTTAGTGGGTAGAGGTTCGTTTTTGATGGGTGGTGAGAGGTTGTGGTTTAGTGGACGTGAGTATGCGACCCCATCATTGGGAAATAAAGTTTGTTCGTACCGTCTGTTATGAATGTGCATTCTGTCTTTGATTAGATGGATGAGCGCTGAATATTATGAATGAATGAATGAATGACTGAATAAATATTTTTTTCGGTATTTATGAACATTTTTTTAACGTGGACGATGTAATTTTAGTTTGTGTACGGCTATTTTAGGAGTTTTCATTTAGATTGACAGATTATATATTATTATTAACCCGTGTCCCGATAGTCCCGTCTTATGCTACTTGTCATTGAATTGGAGCCAGCATGCGGAGTAGAGGAATTGAATCTGTTTTTAGGGAATAGAATACCAATTTAAAAAAAAAGTTTGTATTTTATTTCAATAAACGATTATACTACCGAGTCTGAACCTCCTGTGTGAATTTTACACACCTTTATAAAATCCACCCAGTATAATTATGATAATATAAAGCAACGAAATGTTACGAACAAAAAAAGAACTTTGCAAAACCGTCTATATATAACGAATTTATGCCCGAACATACAAAAAAAAAGTAAACATCCGAATTGATAACCTCCTTCTTAAATCGGTGAAAAATACCTACTTTTGACTTATGTCTATGATTATAAAAATTAAATTATAACTTCTTATCACTTGACTACGACTACGTGACCCACCCCCTCCCTGACACCAAAGCTGGATCCGCCCTTGGGCACACTGCGAAACATCTGCCTATGCTTGGCATTTTACTAGTGTAATTATTGTAGATGTGTCGCTAACCTTTAAAAGAAATGATCTTTGGTTACTAATATGACAAAATGCAAAAGTGGTAAGTCTCCCATCGAGCTGGCCTATTCGTGCAGCAGGAACTATTTTCGAAGCTGTTGTTTCTATGATGCAAATTATATAAAATTTTTGAATCATAAACGCTATAATGTTTTTTATAGTAGTAGGTTCCGTACCCAAAGTGTAAACCCTATTAACAGTAAATATTGGTCTATGCCTATTACTAAGGCTCTGACTGTCTGTCTGCCCGTCTGTCCGTCTGTCACCTGGCTGTATCTCATGAACCATGATTGTTAGACAGTTGAAATTTTCACAGATTATGTATTCTCGTACTTGGCCGTTTTTTTCTTTGTGCTGCCAAAATATACGTAATAGGTACGTAAAATTGTAAATTGTGTATTACATATTTTCTATTTAAAATTTCATGTGAGCGCAATTAATACTTTAGCAGATCTAATTAAAGGGTCCAATATTTTAATATAGGAGCAGGTTACAGCTCTATACCTCATAGATTGAAGATGCAGCTTGTATAGTTTATGGCACATTCAGAGGGATGACTTATTTAAGAAAAGTATTTAACATTTATATAATTTACATTGTGAATCAGGTTTATTTTACGTTAATAATTTCAAAACATTCACAGTATTTTATCGTTACATATTTTATGTATTTAAAATTTTTCTTGTGAACTGCCTGTATTTTTTTCAACAACTGCAATCTTCAAATTTTCTATTTCTGACCATAGTTCAGCATGGTACAATGCTGCTACTTCTACTTCCATTTCTGCAGCTGCTACTGCACAAAAATAAAAAAGAAATTAATTAGAGGAAGACGAAGACACTGATCGGAAATAATAAAGGGCAAAAGAACGGCGAACCCCTTTTAGTTGTTATCAATGATGTTTTAATAGAGAAGACTCATGTCCATACTGTGTGTCCTTATAAAATTGATTCGCTTTACATTATAATACGATGACATATGTTGGTCAATGTGACAGATGATATAATTATTATTGTAACGTACGATGCGGAAAGAGATAGTACTTTATAGTTGCAATCTCATTACACCAATTGTCGTAATTTGAGGGCCTCAGTCTTGGTACGCTAGTGTTATGATTATGTAGCTCGTATTTATATATCGTATAATATCATTGATTGATAAGCAATGCATACTTACTTCGAAGATTACGCACAATTGCAACGTTTTTCTTCAGTCTAGCTAATTCGACATCTATTTCATCTTGTACACTATTATAAAATTTTGGACTGTTTATATCAATATGCTGAAACGAGTTTGTTGACGGTGGCGTCGTATTCATATTTTAAAACTACGAAGATATTATTGAAAAATAACTTTATTGGTAAGGACTAAAAGCAACTAATTTTAAAACTTCCCGCCTTTTAAAAGTGAAGTGAACCAGGATGTGAAAATGGCCTGTACTACATATAATAGTGCCTAAATTTTTTTTATAGACTATTGTACACCACAGAGAATTTGATACAATTAGTATAAAATAAGTCTTAAAAGCTAGATACAATAAGGTGGTCTTATCGCTTAAAAGCGATCTCTTCTAGATAACCTTAGGATGAGGAAAAATAAAGTAATGAATAGTGGGAGGTGGTGTGCTCAATAAACTTAATAATACCAAAATACATATAAAATTTAATACAATAATTTAAAAATAAAATTTATATTCGTTTCAAATAATTTTATTATTCAAATAATCGAAGAAGTCTTTAGCCCTGAATTATGCTATCAATTTAATTTAAAATAATCTATTTATATTTCAAATGTATATAATCTGTTATCACATTTCCGAACGCGTTAGGATTAAATATGCAATAGCGTGACGTCACTTGTTTTTATCTTAATTTTATCTATGTGAAAAGTTTGTTCTCTCTTTCCTATAGGACATCAACATTTAATAGAGAAGTCATCTAATTGTCAATTGTTGTCACGCGTTCTGCCCTTTTGTGTGAACTATTTTCTTGTACCTTGTTTATATATTTAAATAAAAATTCTACTAATGTTTTACACTAAAAAGTGATTCTATCGAAATTACTATTAGCGTTTAAGAAGATGATAAGCGACGACGATCGTGACATTGATATCGAAAGTGATGTCCGTGTTTTTCTTATAAATTTGACCGTTGTATACTTATCCTTTTCGTAGCAAATATAGCTACTGATTTTTATTCATTTCCATATTTCAGGCAGAAAACGATTCTGATTCCAGGACTCATGCAAGAAATAGTCTTGGTGGAAGTGGGTACTATTCCCAGGTAAACTAATTACTTATGGAATCTTATTGGTACTATTAAAAATAATCTCTCAATTAGTCTAGGTTTATTTGCAAAGGAAATATTTGATGAATTCATTTAAATAAATAATTGTATGCATGTTTTTAGGCTGAGAAACGTGCGCATCATAATGCTTTGGAAAGAAAAAGAAGAGACCACATAAAAGATAGCTTTACATCCTTAAGAGATTCGGTTCCAGCGTTGCAGGGGGAGAAAGTGGTATGTAATGTAATGTCTCAATCAACTAAGTATGCCTTTACTATTATCTTTTATTTTTAACTGATATTCTAAACTTAGCAACAGATAATTTACAAAGTATTTCTTAAATTTTTAAAGTAAAACTTATTGTATGTAATTCTTGAACCACTTGGCCTTTAAAACTGAAAAATGAAGTAGATGCTGTAATTATTATGTAGCTTAAATGCTTAATGTATTCAAAGTGGGGTTTGTTAACAATAACTTATAACAAGAAAACAGTATACCAATGTGATTTTTTGTCATGACCTGTATATGAATAGATACACAAAGCATGTACCACCAGTCTATTGTTGGTAATGTATAACTAATTTTTATTATCAACTAGCAAACCTGACAGACATTGTCCTGTACACATGACTTAAATCCGAAAACTTATAAACAAAAAGTTGTAGTGTACCTACTTGTGAATCTAAATCATTCTCTAATCAACTTGAAGACTTGAAGACATACAAAAAAATTCATTAAAGTTGGTCCAGCCGTTTAGGGAGTTTAGAGACATACACACATACAGATATACATATACACATACATACACATACACACATACAGAAGAATCATAATATTATATATATAGAGATTACTAAAGGTAAATTAAAAGGTTACTTGAATTCACACATATATACTTCAAATTAATGAAAGTGTTTGCTACCTCTTCTCAATATAAACCCAAAAAGGATTCCAGACGAAAAGAAATTGGTATTGATTATTTATTGAATGAAGCATTAATCAACCAAGCATTTTAATGGACTAGCTGGCCCATGCAACTTTTAACATAGCACCATCTATTAGATATTTAATCCAGCCGATAAATTTACCTTACACCGCCATCTGTTAGAATCTTATAGAACTCACAGATATTTATAACTCTTTGTCATTTAATAAATAAATAATTGCAATAAAGTAATATTGATCTTTCAAGTTCGATCAAACTGCACACAGTGTGCAAATTTGATTCAAATCGGTTAAGTAGTTTAGGAGTCCATTGTGGACAATCAACGAGATACGTAATTTTCAATAAGTAGTGTAATACATATATTAAGATTTTTATTAAATTTAATATGTTTCAGCATTAAGTTTTGTACATACCTATCATGTTAATTTATTTGGATTTAAAAAGGGAGTCTAATACATCTTAATCTTTATATACATAATTCTTCTGTACATATGTCACTGAAGTCCTAAACGGCTGGACCGACTCAAGAAATTTTGTGTGTGTGTTCAGGTTGATTTGAGAATGGTGTAGATTCACAATTCCGTTCACTATAAATTTTTTTATAATTATAAGTTGTCGGATTTAAATTGTTTGTACAGGATGTCTGTCCGCAAGTCTATTTATATCATTACATCTGCTTCACACCTTTCAACATTTACTATATTCAAGTATTATGGAACAATTACATGCTTAAAGTAAAACAAAAAGAATAAAAAGACCTTACCTGTGGGATCCATTTTATCAAATATTTATATAAATTGGTTTATATTGACAATCAATTTGCTATTGTAATGGAAATTCATTATTTTACTGCCATAGAAATCCAGAGTCTGCAAAATGAAGAACTCTATGGGCTGTTTAAAGCTTCATATGATTTAAAATTGGGTAAAATTTCAAGTCATATGAAGCAGAGAAAATTAACCACATTTAAAAAAAATAGAAATCATTTAGTAACAGATCTGGTGAGTATGGTGGGAGTTGGATATGTGGAGTTTTCAGTTGTAGCCCCTGTAATTTGGAAACTGCCCTGACATCAATACACAAAATGTGTGGACAAGCAGTATTTTACAGTTCTACTCTGCAGCAATTCTTATGCCAGGTTTCAAGAAGCTGTCATGAACAAAAATTGCACAGGTCTCTTGTATACATACAAGCAGGTTTTGTTGACTCTATTTGTGCTTGGGACATTGTTTGGCTGCCATATTTATGTTTAACCATCACTGGGATGGACCCTATTGATTTGTCATACAAGATATGTTTTTGATTTTGAGATGTGCCAAAAATATTCAGGATCACTTGTTTACGCCTATACGACAAGTTAAGGCAAGCTTTGACGCGATTTCGTTGTTGCGTGAGTTCATATGGTACACCAACTTTTAGCTTTCTTATTTTTCCAATATTACAACTGAATCTGTATAATATTGTCTCTAACTTTGAAAGCTGCAGTTAGTTAAGATGTGGATATACATATATCTGCTTTTACTGTGGCTATCTTTTCATTGAAATATACTTTCGATTCATCTGCCTTGGGACACAATGCCTGTCTTCACTTGCGGTAGCTAGTCCACACATGGGTATTGCGTGCAGTCTGTTCTGCGCTGGTGCCATAACGGAAAAATAACACAGATGCCGAAGCTTTTATTTAAAAATAAATTGTTTATTATGTTTTTAGTTTATTAAAAGAAATGCCATACTTATAATTAATAATAATAATAAAGATAATCATGGGTACTGTGTTAGGGCCATTCAGCAGCCTCGGCTGTTGCACGAATGGGCAGACTCGTCCGGGTAAGTACCACGACCTTATAGAAGACCGGCGTAAAGTGGAAGTATAATACTTTCGCGTTTCGTCTGGTAAGTGAGGTAGCCGGAGCCCAATTTTCAAAAGGTTATCAACGCATTTGCAACCCTCGGGTGTAGCAGATGTCCATAGGCGGCGGTATTCACTTAACATCAGGTGAACCGCCTACTCACTTGGCAACTTCTCACGTAAAAAAAATGGTTGGTAAAAATCAAACAGTCTAGCAAAATTACTGCATGGAAGATTAAATGCTTAAAATAATTGTAGAACAAAGTAGACAAGATTTTGTCCAAGAGCAGAAAATTGTAGTATTTATGATGGTACCATTTGCTGTATGTCTCTGATGACTGATTCTCAAGATGGATAAGGTATTTTTTGCTAAAAAATTTAAAAATAGATGTAGAACAATACTATCAAAACCCTCTATAGAATTAAAATATTAATATTGTTTTTTGTTATTAGGCGAGCCGAGCACAAATCCTAAAGAAGGCAGCGGAATACATTCAGTTTATGAGGCGGAAAAATAACTCTCACCAGCAAGATATAGAAGATCTGAAACGACAAAACAATTTACTTGAGAATCAGAGTAAGTTAAAAAAAATTTAAATTTTATAGTCATTTTATGTAAGCTTTGATAGGTCAATGTCCGGGCGCTTGCTTTTAATTCAATATACTCAAACTACCTGAGTTCAAATTCGGGCAAATGAAAATGTTTATTACAATTTTAAGTACTGACTCATCACAACCTGTATATTTTCGAAAGAATAATAAGAAATATATTTCGTAGATATATGAAGTCTGCACATCTGCGGTGGGGTCGCGTGGTGGACTACGCTATAAAAGCTTTGTCAGCGCTCTAATATAGTTCAGATAGTATTTTTAAGCGTCGGGCGCTAGTCTGCAGATCTGCGTTGGGGTCGCGTGGTGGACTACGCTATAAAAGCTTTGTCAGCGATCTAATATAGTTCAGATAGTATTTTTAAGCGTCGGGCGCTAGTCTGCAGATCTGCGTTGGGGTCGCGTGGTGGACTACGCTATAAAAGCTTTGTCAGCGCTCTAATATAGTTCAGATAGTATTTTTAAGCGTCGGACGCTATTGTCTGCAGATCTGCGTTGGGGTCGCGTGGTGGACTACGCTATAAAAGCTTTGTCAGCGCTGTAATATAGTTCAGATAGTATTTTTAAGCGTCGGACGCTATTGTTGCAGATCTGCGTTGGGGTCGCGTGGTGGACTACGCTATAAAAGCTTTGTCAGCGCTGTAATATAGTTCAGATAGTATTTTTAATAGTCTGCAGATCTGCGTTGGGGTCGCGTGGTGGACTACGCTATAAAAGCTTTAGTTCAGATAGTATTTTTAAGCGTCGGACGCTATAGTCTGCAGATCTGCGTTGGGGTCGCGTGGTGGACTACGCTATAAAAGCTTTGTCAGCGCTCTAATATAGTTCAGATAGTATTTTTAAGCGTCGGACGCTATAGTCTGCAGATCTGCGTTGGGGTCGCGTGGTGGACTACGGCTTTGTCAGCGTGGATGTATTTTTTTTTAAGCGTCGGACGCTATAGTCTGCAGATCTGCGTTGGGGTCGCGTGGTGCACTACGCTATAGAAGCTTTGTCAGCGCTCTAATATAGTTCAGATAGTATTTTTAAGTGACGGGCGCATACCGGACAACGCTGGTTGAAATCATTGCCGTGGCAAAACACTGAGAGAAAAAAATCTAATAATTCGTTTAAAATTTTAATAGTAACACCTTTGCTGTTAGATAAATAGGTTCAAATGTTCAATCTCAGTCGTGTAAAGATTTTTTTCAGTCGTTTAACTCAGGACGCGGGTTCAAATCCTCGTGGCGAAAAACTCAGTTCCTTTTCCTACAAATTTAAAATTTCATCTTAAGTGAAAATAGTAGTAAAAATTAATATCATTAAAATAATAACTTTCAGTTAAAGCCCTTGAAAAAGTTCGAGCCACGGGCAACTACATGGACGCACACGAGCTCGGTCTAGGAATCAAGTCGGAGGGCAGTTCACATGACACCGACAGCTCTGACGGAGAAGGAACAACTCGGCGAGTCAAGAAACTGAAGATAAATGCAGTCAATGTGTAGTTGTGGATTAATTTAAACAATAGTGCATGGCAATACTGATTATAACATAGGACTTTGCTGTATTGTATTAATAAATTTTAAAATAGCATTACTAGTAGCATTATTGTTATAATCAATTTTGCCCAAATGAAGAACTAAACTCTGATTTTGTTCTCTGTGTAATTACGACTAAAATAATTTAAGTGTTGCTTTATTTTGAATTTTCTGTACAATCTGAAATGTTTTTTGCAATGAATAATTGTTTTTGTTGTTTGAGTAATTTTTTACTCGGTTTCTGTGAACAATTATTTCCATTATATTTTTAGTTTTTTGTAAATATTTTTCATTGACATTCTGCTGCAAGTAAGCATTAGGCGATATTGTTGTTGTCAAGATCTATCGTGACAATTTGTTATGAATGAATGCAAGAACTTGCATTTTCTTTGTTATATGATTTAACTGATTGTGAGAATATTCAATGTAAAGTTTTTAAGTTAAGATTTGGTCTTCTTGAATTATTTTTCTACTATTCACTGTTAAGGTAGCATATCCTTGAATCCTAACCATATAGTATTTACATATGGCACAGATAACTATTATGATTTAATAATAATCCGGAATACTTTTAAACGAGACCAGCGCCGATCACAATCGTTATTTCTTGTGGTCTACTTGTTTCTTGGAGCAGGCTTTAATGTTGAAGTTTTAATTTAAAAGACAATTCTGTATTGAGCGTTGTTTTGAATTGCACATCAAGTGTTTATAGTATAGAAATAATGCTTTAAAAATACCCAACTAAACTTCATGATGTAGTTTCCATAATTGATATGTATCTATGTATTTGTCATAAATAAATCTTTTATTCAAGTTGCTTAGGTATGTTTGCACTTACCATTGTTGTGATGTTTAGTTGCTTTTGTTCTTGAAGACTAAATAACGAGAATAAAGGTATGAAATACGCGGCATGTAACTTTTTCATTTATCTACTACCATATCCGCCACAGGCATTACATTTAAATGCACAAAAAGACTCAGTTTGAAATGGTCGCCTGAATGATAGTGACCAGAAAGAGTTACAAGCATACTGCGCGGAACAAAATTAAAGAAAATGAGAATTGAGATTTTTTTATGTGAAGATTTTTGAAACGAGCAAGCGTTCACCTGATGTTAAATGATTACCGCCACTCGTGCACATGTACAGCAACTGGTGGGTTGCAGATGCGTTGCCAACAATTAAAGTGGGCTCCGGTTACCTCACTAGACGAAACGCGAAAGTTGTGATATGTGAAAAGTTGCCAAACGAGCAGACTTTTCACCTGGTGTTAAATGAATACCGCCGCCCATAGAAATCTGCTACACCCGAGGGTTTGCAGATGCGTTGACAACATTTTTGGAAATTGGGCTCCGGCTACCTCACTCTCCAGACGAAACGCAAAAGTATGATACTTCAACTTTACGGCGGTCTTCTGTGAAGTCGTGGTATTTACCCGGACGAGCCTGCCCATTCGTGCAATAACCGAGGCTGCTGCGTGGCCCTACCGCCGTAGAAAACCTGCTGCTCAAAACAATAGCGTTATCTAAGAGTATTCATTTGCATTTTCTATGGTGAGTGAGGTATACCTACTTTATGTAAAGTTGGTAACTTAACTGACACCTCACGAGCGCTGTGAATGGTCGTGTGGATAGTAATTAATTAATCTAAGGTTAAACTCGCCCAAGTGGCATGTTGTCAATAAAAACAAATAGTTTTTTGGATTAAGGAAAAGCAAACATTGCTCTCCCTTGACGGCTTACGTTTGGGCCTACATAAGATTGATTTTTTTGTTAACGCTTGGGAAAAGCATACGGCTGTGTCGGACTTGCACCGACTAAAACCCCCATGATGTTCCATGCAGGGCGGATTTTGACTCTGATAACATTATACAACATGCGGAAAGCGGTCCCCTACCAATTACGGCATGTTAGCCAAGCACCGTATGCCGCGCCGTTGACCTAAATAATATCCCTAAATTCTGAAACTTGTGTTGGTGTCGCTTATATAGGCACGTTTAGTTCTAAGACTTGTTTTGAATGTAACATAATAGACACTGAATAAGACACTCGTCTTGACTCTACAGTCAAGTAAACAAATAATAAACATTTAATAAGTGATTAATAATATTATTTAAATGAATAAAGAAACTAAATCTAATTCAATAATTTTAAATAAATATTTCTAGTATTATAATGCTAAAATTGTACAAAGAAATTTCCCCAAACAAATCTTTCAATTTGGATTCAGTTAAATTAAATTCAGTAATTCGTCCCCATTTAAACCAGCAGAAAAAGGAATTATTCTCTGCTATCTTCTAAAGCCCTCGAGAAATGGAATCCTCGAGTAATACTCGGTAATTGTCTGTCACGGGAAAATTAAAACGCATAAATCCTATTCAAGTTGAGCAGGCTATATTATGGACTGGAAATCACTTGAAATTAAATATTAAAAATACCACATTAACTTCAATAATAAATAACTCTTTTAAATTCGAGAAATTTTAATTTAAAACTATTTTATTAATAAGCTTTGATAGCCAATACACAATAAGTTTATAGTATATCGGCGATTATTGTTCATATTTCTACAGCAGTTCCTTATTGGCGGTATAATTTTAAACGAGTTCTTGTCTTCGAGATTTTTTTTGTTATTATTTCGAAAATTTGCAGATTTTCTTACGATGATTTCCTTCACTGAGCACGTGATAAGTCAACACTTAAAATTACGAATTTCATTGGTGCCGGCGCCTGTTGTTGCCCCGGTTGCCCTACCCTAAATCCGGCCCTGCCACAGTACAAACTACCTATTTCTGCTTTTGCAGATTCTAGATTTTGTACCCAAGACGTGCTCTCCAATGTATTGTTGTGACGTATAATAATTAACATTTAGTAATAGTCCATAAATATGAAATAGTTTGTCATGCTTATGAATAGTAAATGAGTTCTTATAAGATGCCGACCTCATTGAACACTGTAAAATTGCAATTGGTGAAAAAAGATTACCTTTTAATAAGAAAAGGATTTTTACCAGTTAAAACTGAAGCGTCCAAGAACCAAGTGTTCTTCATGGTAATAATATTATTAATACTGATAGTTGCAGGTATTGTTTTTATATTTTTTCATTAAAAACAGAATCAACTTTCAAATTAAAAAATAACTTTTTAGTAATGAAGTTACATACGTAAGTACATGTATGTATATCATTATGAAACTATATAACACGTGTGTATATAACATAGTTATGCACGTAACTACCTTATCCCCGTGGGTTTGTTGACGTAATTAAAATTAAAACTAAGTATGTGTCATAATATTCATTGTAAATATCTTTGCAAGATATCGAAATGTAATCTTTATATGTATAAACCTTCTGTACGTGTGTATATCACTGAACTCCTAAACGGCAGGAACAATTTTAATGAATTTTTTTCTGTCTTCAAGTGGATTCGAGAACGGTTTAGATTAACAAAGTTATTAAAAAAGTTTGAAATTTTCGAATTTAAGACGTGCAGGTTACCGTATGTTGGCTTTGCTAGTAGAATCATAGGCGTATATAGCAGGGGGGCCGGGTGGGCCATGCCCACCCCAAGATTTTGGGTCACTGATTCGAAATTCTTGGCTGGATACCTAAGAAACTTCTTAAAAAAATAGTTGAAATGAAAAAATTATCTACAGCCGAGAAATCTATTTACGTACATAGTTTTTATTAAAAAAATTTTAACGGCGACAAACTGTTAATTTTTTAATGCGACGCATTGTCTTCGATTTTTTTTGTAATAAGGGCCCAGCCCCGCCCTGAAAAATAATTCTAGATACGCCAATGAGTAGAATATAAGTTTAAAACACATGTTTTAATTCCTATAATTTTAATGAAGTCCGTGAAAGCGTTTCGAGCCTATTTAAACAAGTTATCAGGTAAGCCGACATACAACTATCACTTTGTTGATTTATTTCTGATTAATACACAGAATTAAATTAAAAATGACATTTCTTAAAGTTATTATTTCCATACGTTAATTTAAACACAAAATAAAAACGTGTAACACAAAGAAACAAAAGAACTTTGGCCAATATTCAAAACCATGTAGGCAGGTCACGTAACGGCATCAATCAGGTGTTCAATTTACTCCGGGACCTTTAAACATTTATCTTTGGAAACTTTTTAAATTTGGAAAATTCCTTTAATGCGATTATGTTATTTTTTTATTCCTCACGAACAGTTCATTTACGCAGCGACCTTTCAATAAAGTTAAGTTTATAAATTGAATGAATACTAATATTAATTATCATGATACTAAGTCACTGAAATCTCCCTACGATTTAAGTATTTTGCTGTGGGAAAAAAACGAACAGGTGAACAAATATATGAAACGCGAGAACTTCATTTAACAATAACCTTAAATAATTCAATTTAATTCAACTCAAATATCTTTATTCAACATAGTAGCATTACATTTACTCCTTGATTGTTAAAAACGCAATATTACAACACACTTCATTTCCCGACTGCACTGAAAGGAGGGTGGTGCTTATATAAATACATATACAATTTCAATCGTAACTACTAAACGGCTGAACCAATTATGATTAATGATAATGAATAGTCAGATTCGTCTTTATTGAGCGATTTTCACTGGTTTTTCGTAACACACTCTTTTAAATTTTTTATATTATTACTTGCTCTATGTATGTACATAGAATATGTACAATTTAAGCTTAGAAAATAGAAATTATTTTGAACATTATGTGGGTTCGTGTAGTTTCTAAACTACTTCGGTGCCGTAGGCCACAGGTTCTATTCTCACGTAGAAAAATTAATTATCCACAGACAATTATTGTTGGCTATAGGACTTACCCGTGTTTCACATATGTTTGTAATACAAGGTACAGTATTAAATTTTTATAGTAAAGGCAAAACGTAAAAAGAATACACACAGGTAAATGCATATTGTAAAGTAATTAAAGAAGTCTAGTTTAGCTAGCAGTCGGTAATAATAAAAAAAACAGTTTTAAAATTGCCAAGACCCGGATGAAATATTATTCTAAATTTTCCTATATTATCGTTTAAGATTTCATAACTTTTGTTTTTTTTTTTTCTAATTTACTTGCGCAGGTAGAATATACGAAAATGATTCACCACACAAGCTATAATACCAGAAGCCCATTGAATGAATGAATCATTCCTGCTTGCTCCAAGACCTTAAAAAGTTGTAGCATATATATTACAACAACATTATTTTAAATTTATTGAACTAAAGTTTTGATTACGTAAAACGCTACTGCGATGATTACAATAATGTTGAAGTTTCTAGAAGTTATCAACAAAAAATCTGTTAACTATTCTCGTGAAGAAAGTGATGCAAAATCTGAGGAATCGGTTCCTAATACCGAATTCTTTTATCAGGATAATTCAATGGCATTCTTGAAATAAAAAAAAAAAAAACAAAGGATTAGATGGTGGAAACAGCATTGTAAATTTACGGCTCTTTAAACAGAATTCTCTAATAAGACTTAAATAATGACTGGAAAAGTTGTTCGGCGACTTTTATACGACCTATTTTTAAGAATGTACTTTTGTACGGCGTTAAAAGTAGCCAGCTTACACACGTGCACACTTTATTGCAGGGAATTAGCTCAAACCGAATCTGACCCACTTTTCTAGAACAGTTATACACTGCCGAGTTCACAGTTTGGATTTAGCGATTTTCTTCATGGTCGCAGTAGTAATCTAACCCGTTAATGTATCAATACAATGTTAATTAAGCCGATGTAGGTATGAATTAGAAAATGTAACGCAAACGTATTAGAAGCTAAATAATTATAGTGAAATAAAATAAATTACACACCATATCTTTCATAGAACGATACGATTATAAAGTAATATAAAAATAAAATAAAATTTTATTACGGGTAGGGTAGACTGGGGTAGGGCTAAAATTTTGAAGCATAAGTGTGTTTAATGAATAAATATTAAAAGTAAATCATAAAAAAAGAAAATCCATTAAAAGTGTACGTACAACATGAATAAGGTGAGACTGAAAATAACAATATCGTTTGGAAAAGCTGGGAGTTTTTCGATCATCGAGTATTTTTATTATTCGAAGAGCCTTAGCACGTAATGAATGCGAGACGCAACCTCATAAATTCAACTTCAAATTGTAGTAAGTTTTAACTGTTCAAACATAAGTTAATACTAATCAGTTTATTGTTTAAAATAATTCTATAGCAGGTAACCCCTGCAAAACACTAAAAAAGCAATAAAGTGGATTAGCGAGTCTTTATTGTTCTTCCCGACGTCTTATTAGTTTCTTATAGTTTGTCTTCACTGCTTTTGTTTTTAAGGGTTGGTGGGGACACAAAAGATACCTGTGAGCATATTTAAATAAGGTTTGGTGAGTACTGACTCATTTAGTCTCAGTGTGGTACTCACAAGGCGGTGAAACAAGTGAAATGGAGAAATTAGTAAGTTCCTGGTTCAGTATTTGTGCAAACATACTTTAAGGATTGATTTTCTATGAAGACTGAGGAGTTTTCGATTTCTTATATATATAACTGTAGCAACAGAATTAGTTACGTATTACGCTTTTCATCTAATAAGTGCAATGGTTCTGATTGCAGGACTACTTAGACAGTGCTGTGATCAGGAAACGCGGGCGACCTGCTGGAAAAAGACGCATGCCGCTCAGCAGAGTGAGTAGAAAATAAATTGGAAATAAAATTTTTGAAAATAGATTTGAATTGTCCGATGACCTTTGATTATACACTTGACAAGTATATATTCAAAGCCGATGTCAAACGAGCTGCAACAATTAGGTAAATATAGACCGTATATGTATTTATTTTCTTCTTGCTCCTGCCTATTTTTATAGGTAACACTAATAGCTTTAAAAATAATAAATAAAAAAAAAACAAAACTTAACGCGCAAGTTTCTCAATGCTATACAGAAATACACAGAAATTTGGTATTATGCATTTTTTTTGTATGTTTTTTAGTAAGTTTCAATCGATTTTGTTACCTTTTGTATCAATCAATTTTGTTTAGTACTCGCTAGACTAACATATTGTTCGATTTAAACGAAATTCAAAATTCTGCTACACGTACGTTACACAGATATTGCAATTTTCATGAACTCACTATAGTAAGTTAAACGTAGAAATAAAAAAGGGTGGACGTTTTTCACAATTTGATGGGAGTGAGATACAACACAGTAAAGTGGTGGATCGATGAAAATACCTGCAACACTGCGAAAAAAATAGACGATTTTTTTGTTATGTAAGAATATGCCAGCATAGACAGTAGCTGCACCCGTAGGGTTGCAGATGCGTTGCCAGCATTTTATGAAGTGGCTCCGGTTACGTCACTCATCAGACGAAACGCAGAAGCATAAAACTTCCACTTCTAAACCACGTCTTCTCTAAAATGGTAGTACTTTACCGGATGGACCTGTCCTTTCGGTCAACAGAAAAGACTGTGACGTGGAAGTGCCAGAGTAAAATGATATTTTTTTACGTTATTACTAAAGGAGACTAGTAAGAACGTAACGTACGAGAGTCCGTCTATAGGTTAGAAATATTAATATTTTTTTCATAAATTAGGAACAAAGGAAGGCACGCAACGCCCAATATGAGAGAGAGAGGCGGAACGTAATCGCGGAGGCAACATGTGAACTGGCTGAGGCGGCCGGCTGTGATCAATCTGTAAGTAAATTCTCAACACTGCGTAACATGCACTTTACCTTGTATTAGTGTACTTAGAAATAAGGAGTTTTAAGTACCCCGGCGGTACTAAAGGTACTTATATTAAGTAACTAATATTTCATCATGGATCTGTTTTTGTGTGAACGCATTTCAAAGTTGAATTAACAAATGTTATAGGTATCCGTCGCGACTCTTCTAACTTCGGTGTTGGACCTATTCGAGAGTAGCGCAAAAAGAGATCCATCTGATAGCATAGAAGCTATGAAGCAGGAAAACGAGGATATTCAGAAGGAGAGTGAGTGAGAGTTTCTTCCTTATTTTCCTTAAACTCTTTAAGCCTTATATCCAACCATAAATAAATAAGGGTAAGAAAGGGCGGAATTATGACCAAAGACATTCTCTACTAATAAGATGTTGTGAGAACTTAAGGTACGTGCGGGCGATGTATCACTAAAGTAAAGTAAAGTAACAGCCTATAAATGTCCCACTGCTGGGCAAAGATCTCTCTGCACAAAGGGTATTGTACACCACCCGGTCCCACTGCGGATTGGCGGAGTTCACACATCTCCGAAATATTTTAATGTGTAATAATATGATGGCCTTATCTCTCTCATGAACATGAACTAGTACTAAGTTGTTTGCGAAAACACGCATAGGCTTAAGTATTTAAGGTCAAACGTCGCTTAATAAGCATAGGTCGCTGAGTAAAATCAGCAATAGGTTTAATAACGTCATAAAAGATTTATGACTTTATTAAACCATGCTGAGAATTGAAGTGAATTATCTGAAGTTATGGTTAATAATTTAAAATTAAATTTCCTTTATTTCAGTAAATGAACTGCAGCACGTTTTGTCTAAGATAATAAATGATTATCAAGACGATATAGATGACGATCCAGATCCTTATCAGGTGCATAAATGTAGAGTTAAAAGAACATCAAAGGTAATAATTAGAAAAACCATCTTAAAATCTATTACACTATTGTAAAGTATTATTTTGTAAATTTTATGTTACAGCTAGAATTATTATACTAAAACACAAATGCATTGTGATAAGTACATATTTTTCAACCGACATCAAAAAAGGCGGAGGTTCTCAATTTAGTTTACTTTTTTTATATTGGTTACCTTATACGTCCGTCATGAAGAACCGAATTAAAAAAATATTTTTGCATTGGGTCCCGTTTAGCTCCCATTTGGACCCATATAATTAATTTGACGTTGGACTCCAGAGATAAATCAGCAAATTCCTCAAAATTAAATAGAAAATGCGTAGCGAGTAGTTTTTTATGTTTAATAACAACAATAAAATTTTGCAGTTGCCTCACCATGGAAGCATGAAAAAACAGCGCTTAGAAGAACAAACAATTGAGATAAAGACTGAATTCGATTTAGAAATGGAACAATTCGAAGTTTGGAGTTAGTTTTTGTTCCGAACAGATTGGAAGAAAGATGAATGTCTCTACATTTGTATCATCATACAAACGCATATTTAATTACATGTATGTTTGGTTATTATTATTAATTTAATTAAAGTGTAGTTATTGTACAAACCTGTATACATTTCATTTATTTTGTTTTCTATATCTTTTACCTTCCTCTAATCTATGACCACGAACTTAAAAGATTAAAAATACTTTTACTGCTAATTAAAATTTAAACTAACGAAAATACCAAATTCCTTTCCCGTTTTTTATGTAATAACAAGGAATGGGAGTAGACGGTTCACCTGATGTTATGTTATTCGCGCGCTTATCGGCTTCAACAATATAAGGTTGAAAATATGTACGTTGATAACCTCTAAAATTGTTGCTCCGATTACTAGACGAAACGCAAAACTATATAAACCATTTCCAATACACGACATCTTTGTACCTACAAGTCGTGGTACTTCCCTAACCACTTTATCCATTTTAGAAACTGCTGTACGAACTCATAGCAGTATTTTTGGGGCGAAGATCCTTAATGTGACTTGTGGGAAGTGTGAGTTGGTAGAAATCGTCGCGTAAGGAAAATGACACACAATTTGACACATTATGACTCGTTCTCTCTGTCTCTTTAAATGCGTTCTAGCAGAATGAGCAACATACGACGGGGTCAAAAACCAATATCGGAATATCTACAAACGGAAAACGTAGAAGCAGGGTCAAGTCATAAGAGTCTTAACGAGCACAACACACTGCTTAAGATTGATTTTTAGACACTACTGTTTTATTATCATCTTTTAGCCTCTTTGAGTCTATTGCTGAACATAGGCCTCCCTCACAGACTGTCACGAATTATGCTCCTGAGCCACCTACATCCATCGACTTCCCGCACATTTGCACAGGTCCTCACTCCATCTAGTGGGGGGTCGTACTACAGTCCGATGGCCAGTACGAGGCTGCCACTTTAGAACCGTTCTTCCCCATCGGTTATCGGTTCAACGAGCTATATATTTATTTATTTATTTAATCTTTATTGCCAACCTTAAGTAAAACAAGGTAACAAAGGGCAGACTTAATGCCTAAAGCCTATATATAATATTATAATTGGATGGAAAGATGGAAATAATATATTAAATTATATATATATATATATATATATATATATATATATATATATATATATATATATATATATATATATTTTTGAAAGAGTTCTAAAGATGTTACCTATGTTAACTAACCCGGTAAAGTGGGCTAGCATATAGCAGGCCTACCGCTACTTCAGCTTGCTAATTTTCTGAGCTATGTCGGTTACCTATGTTCTACTCACATGTCTTCGTTGTGAACACTATCACCAGCATAGCCCACCCCATAGCTCCCCGACTGACTTTGAGCTTCCTCATACGGCCAGCAGTGAAGGACCACGTCTCGGTTCTGTAGGTTATCACTGTTAACTGCTTTATCATGTAATAATTACCTATATCACGTATGATAAAATAACATTGTCAAAAATAATTCCTATCTATATGGTTTTCTTATGTTATAATAAATTTATAGAAATATAATATAATGTGAAAACTTAAGCATGAATTTGTCAAATTGGTAAGAAATTAAATCATGGTGAAAGTAGAGAGTATTGGTAGTGACAAAAAATTATTAAATTTTGTACTTTCTGACAACATTATATTTTTGGTATATTCTTAACAAACATTCCATTTTTGGTATATTCTTAACAAACATTCAATATTCCTTGAAAACTCTTCATGTATCGTTCGCTTTGCTTAAAAATCCTTATTGACAAACATAGTTTAGGGAAGAGCTAGTTTAAAACTATGTTATATAATCGCCCGCCTATGTATAACGTTGAAAACTCACTACGGTTTATACTTGTATCCAACACAATAAAAATGTTTCGCAATAAGCCATGTGCTCTGCTAATAACCGCTCTTCAGAAGTCACTCGTTGCCTTTACTTTAGTTGACTTTTACTTTTATTTTTGTAAAATAAACCGCTAACATAGTAAAATAATATGGCAGCAAAGTATGTACATTTATACTTGCTCTGGTTTACTACGATAATAACGAAGAAAACGAATGAAGTCGTTTTCTTCGTCAGATTCGATTCTTTAGTCAGAGTATAAATGGTATATTGTACTATTCTTTAGCATGTTATATTTGAAATATTGAAGCCAGAAGAATGGATTATGCTATTTGTGTTTTTCAGGCTTAAGACTCAAACGTCGAACTCTTCCTTCAAGAGTTTACACAGAGTTTAACTAACTATAATCCCAATTATTTCTGATAATCAAGTTTCTACAGTACTTTTAATTTGAAAGTCACTGTTCCTACCGGAATACGAATGTAACCCTGTGTCGTAGAGGCGTTTTTCAAACGCAAATTTGCACCCTGCGTAGAACAACGTGACATCTGCAAAATTGTAATTGTTCAGGACGGCCGATTCAAATTATGTCAATAACTGATGGGTCACAAGTTCATATATACACGTTTATATAACGTTGTTCAACGGAAAATTCCAAAAAATAATAGGTCACTTGTTCATATATAACGTTGTTCTACTAAAAACTCAGAAAATATGTATGCCATAAACGCATGTAGAACTTTTTTCAACGAAAAAAACCATAAAAAGTGGGTGACTGTACAATAATTATCAATTGACTCTAATAGAGTATTTTACACTCGTCTATTACATTAGTAAGCTTAGTCTAGTCAGTACAAAAAACAGTGTCTAAACGTACATATGTCCTTTTACTGCGGAGCACAAATCAGATAGAACGTTGTTCTATTCTGAATCTCAATATCTATAAGTCAGACGAAAAAAAAAATTAATGTCATTTGAAAGCGTAGACAATGATTAAGACTTTCCGATGATAAAATTAAATGCGTTCTATGGTACCACAGAACGTTATTCTACGCACGGTGGGAATTGAACAAGGACTAACCTAATATCCAAATCCGAAATGAGATATTCATTACAGATCATCCAAATCCCTGATGAGAATCTCTATCACTTAGCAGTTTCGCCACCCTAATCGTCTAAAGACTTGTTTCTCTTAAAACTTCACTACATTCTCTTTGGTACAACATTGAAGAAATCTTACGAGCCAATTTTACGAGTTAGCTAATGCGTTCTGGGAATTTTTGGCTAATACTAGTATTATCTAACATCTAGATATTCAGAGGACAAAAGGCGCCAAACAGGCGTGGGCTTCTTAGGGCAAAGATAAACAATGTAGAGCAATTTTAATGCTTCAGTTTTTGTTTTATTTTATTTTATTTTATTTTAATTTATTCGGAAAACTTACAGCTATTAACAAAGATAATTGAGTGATATTAAATACTAAAGAAGCCATTAAAAGTTTTCACATTTAGAAATCTTAAATTACAGTTACTGTAGAAAATAAATAAATACAAGGAATAAAAAAAAGACACGTGAGTACAATGGCATGAACATAATTATGGTAAAAATAACAGTAAAGCTAAAATATATATATTTATATATATATATTTTATGTGACAAAGTGGTCTTTAGTAAGAAGTGCCTTGGCCACCGCTGGTGAGGTATGAAATGGATCAATATTCGTTTGGTTGTTTATAAATTTTGCTGTCCTTATCATAAAATGGTTACTTCTATAATTTGTACGAGTTTTTGGAGTGTGGAAGGATTTACGTTTTCTTTTATTCGGCAATGGAACATTTAACAAGATTTCAGATAATAACTCAGGTGAATCTATTGATCCGTTAACAATTTTTAAATACAAGCAAACGTCGTTGATATTTCGTCGAACATGTAATGGAACAAAATGATACCGGCTTCATCTATCATTGTAGTCTCTAGACTTTATATGTGCTTTATGATCAAGATATCTTAAAAATCTTTTTTTGAATACTCTCAATACGTGATTTATAGGTCTTATATTGAGGACTCCAAACCTGTGAGGCATATTCTAGCGTAGGTCTAACATAGGAGCAGTACAGAATTTTGATAGGTTTTAGGTCGTGAAAAACAGACGTGCTACGGATGATGAAATCCAAGGCTTTATACGCCTTCGATACTACATAATCTATATGTTTATCATAAATAAGTTTATGATCTTGGGTAACTCCAAGATCTAGTGCCGTATACACCCTGTGGATTTCTGTATCTTTCAGCAGATATCTGCCTTCGATAGTGGTATTTTTCCTCATAAACGACATAAGAAAACACTTCTGTACATTTAACTCCAACTTGTTCCGGTTACAATATGATTCGAATCTAATTAGGTCAGATTGCAGTAACTTTTGACCTTGCAAATTTCTTATAACATTTAGCACTTTCATGTCATCCGCATAGAGTAGTATTTTGGAGTGTTTGAAACATTTTTCTATGTCGTTCACAAATATTACAAAGAGCAGCGGTCCCAAAAGGGAGCCTTGAGGTACACCTGAAGGGATGGGTAGCCAGGCGGACATAAAACCGTTGAAGACAATTGCTTGAGACCTGTTTTCAATATACGAGGCAAACCACCTTAAGAGGTCCCCGTGTATTCCTGCTATCGCTAACTTATTCAACAGAATTTTATGGTCTACCCTATCAAAGCACTTGCTGTAATCTGTATAGATACAATCTACTTGGTGACCATCATCCATACCCTTCGTGATGTAATCTTGCGTAACAATTAGGTTAGAAACTGTCGATCTCCTCTTCAAACACCCGTGTTGTGCTATGCTTAGCCTAGGTGAAATATAAAAGTAAACTTGATTATGTACTATCTTTTCAAATACTTTCGCGAATAAGCATAGTTTTGATATAGGACGATAATTATCTATTTTATTATTATTCCCTTTTTAAGTACAGGAGTAATGTACGCCTATTTCCAGATTTTGGGTACAATTCCCTCGGACATAGAGCGTCGGAATAATATAAATAGAGGTTGAGATAGTTCGTCTGCACAGTTAATTATGAAATGAGGGGGATATACAGTCAGGGCCACCCGACTTATTAACATCCAAAGTCTTAAGTGATTTACTGATTTCCCTCTTTACAATACAAATTGTATGCATAATGTCCGAATGTTTAATTTGTGGTTGATTAGTCGAATCAACATTAGTTTGTGAGTTGTTCCCATCCGGTGAAGAGAATGTGGAATAAAAATATTTTGAGAACAAATCGACAATTTCTTGGCCATTTACTGCAATTTCATTGTTTAAAGTCATATTACTGGGAATAGAATGGGTAATCTTACTACGTTTTACGTAGCTTCAGAAAGTGTTTGGATTGCTTACGATGTTTTTTTCCATCAGCATAACATAGTTTTTGTAGCATTCTCTTTCGATCTCCTTAGCTCTAGCACGTAAACATGAAAAAGATTCGTACGTTTTAAATTTAAAGTGATATTTGCGTTTGTTACGAAGTATTTTTATTAGAGGACGGTTAAACAAAGGTGGGTAACGAGATGATTTAACGCCTTTGACTGGAATATATAAGTCCCTAAGTTCATAGAGTTTCTAATAAAATAAATCAGTTGCTTGATCTAAATTTATTCCATTAAGCATAGTTTCCCAATCGCATGCATTTAATTCCGATCTTATCTTGTCGTACTTTCCCTTAGAGTAATTGTATTGGTTCTGTGTTAATACCGGAAGTTCGCTTTTATTGACATTATAAGGATGGACAACGCTTTATGATGAGCATCCTCAGGAATAAGTGGGTCACACGCTATGACTTGGGCTGTAGAATTACATAGAATTAAATCTAAGATTACGTCATTAATTTGAATTAAATTGGCGTAAAGAAGAACCTGTTTACCTGTTTTGCTTTTACATTCGTACAAACAATAGTGCATATGAATCACTACGACCCAACCAGTGGTGCCCAAGCCTCTGTTCGATGTAATAAATTTAACATTATTCGTGTTTTTAAAAATTGTTAAATTTCTGTAAAGACTTAAATTATTTTTTGGAGGTCCGTTTCCGACTTTATCGTGAGTATCGGAGATGTAGCATTCCTTCGAACTAGGATTTTTGAATTTTTTACCCATACAAATAAGAAGTTTTTTTCTTTAGCCAACGTTTTTGTCTTATTGAGTAACGTTTTGTTCCCAGTTGTTAGATGGTCATTTACGAATATTCGGTTGTTTCCTTGCAGTCCCAGTGATGAAGCGGTAAGTAGCGATCTATTACAGTGTCTCCTTGCAGCAGCAACAAAATCTTCTTTAATAAAGCGATTGTTAAAACAAACAATAATTAGTTTCACGCTGTTCGGATCTCGATTGGGAACTCTTGAAATGTAATTAATTTGATTTCTCGTTAGTGAAAAATCCACTGAAGATCCTATAGATGTCACAATATCAAGAAAATTTTCACCAACTTTCATAGGTACTCCCTTGATTTCAGCGTTGTTCAGACGAGCCCACTGATCTCTAGTCTATATTTGTGTCTCCAGGGATTCGACTTTTTGATGTAGTGATACAATTTTCTCCTTCTGCTTTTCAACTATAGAGACCCTAGATTCAATGTTCAATATTTTCTTCGAAAGTTCTTGAACTGTATTGCTTGTTTGGACATTTGCTTTTTGAAGCTGTGCCATATTTTCCTTAAGCAACTTAATATCCGCTTCAATAGCATCAAGGGGATTAAGTTTAACTGATATGTCCTTTATCTCTTTCATTAGTTGAGCTAGAGTTATTTCTTGATCCCCTTCTACTACTCCTGACGACTTTACGTCCGGTGCCTGGGTGGGGGATTTGCCATGTACTTGGCCTTGTTTGCATCTCGAGCAGCGCCATGTCAACCTTCGATCTCCTTGTCTACGGTATCCGGCTTCACTAATACCAGCACAATGGAAACGAAAAGAGCTTTTACATAGGCAGCAGTCGGCCCCATCAGCAACTTGTTCTTTGCATTTCATGCAGATCGCCATAATGTAGACACTCGGTTTAAGAAGCCCTGACTAAAGAACGACGAGCACTGCGGCACTATTTATGCAAAAGCAAGCTTTATGTTCAATTCAACAAGGTCTAAAATAACTATAATGTATTATATAAATTAAGATGAAATTAGGTAGTTTAAGCGCACACGTCCGAATCAATCAAAGGTGACTAATTAACTTGATTGAAGGTGACTAATTATTTTCATACAATTACAAAACGAAGTGACGATTTCATGTGAAATGATTGTGAATTTTATGATTGCGAAACATTGCTTAAAGCGAATATTACAGTTATTAATAAAACGAACTTATGAATGAGAATATAAACAATAGATTATTGTAGGTACCCAAACAGGAGTCTGATACATAAATATTTCTACAGTGGTCATTCCACGCGGCCATTATGCAAAACACATTGCCGCGGCCCGTCTGCTAACTAGTTGGACGAAGTGAAATTTTGTGTCAGTTTCTTTGGATACTTTCTTTTACTAAAATAATATTAGTCCTATGAAATTTAACGAATTTTAGGTTTATATTAAAAATTGAAGAAATATTTTGAGACTAAGGTATTTAGAAACATTGTTTCACCATTGTTTTCCAAACGAATTTCTTATAAAACCGACTTCGAAAAAGGAGCCGGTTCTCAATTCGGTTTATGAACTGATTCTAAAAAAATCTTTTTGCATTTATTTCAGTTTAGCTGTCATGTCATCTCATATTATTTTCTATGACCTGCGACTGCGGAGATACATTAGGAAAATCCTCGAAATGAAATAGAAAATCTACAAGTGGGTTTCTTGAAATCGCCTTTGTTTATTGTTACTATAAAATTATTTTACTTGTAAATCAAATCTTCTTTTTAAATAAGTAATTTAAAATACTGCATAAAACTTGTTAAGTGCATCGTTGTCTTCAACCGACTTCAAAAAATGAGTTTCTCCGTTGTTGTTATTTGGTTTGTTACCTATCTCAGAATTCTGTTATATAAGAACCTATCTTAAAAATTATTATTGCATTGGATTCGGTTTAGCTTCTATGTGGTTCCAAATTAATTTCATTGGTATTGCTTCTTGCTCTCTGGAATTATATCAGGGAATCCATGTCCAAATCAAATAGAAAATGTATTGTGAGTGAGATACTTCAAGTTAATTTTGTTTTGTTTTCAATAAAAATGTTTACTTGTTCCTAAATCGGATCTCCTTTTCAATAAAGTATTAATAAATATCAAAAATACTGTATAAAACCTGTTAAATGTATAGTTCTTGATAACAGTTTACTTACACTTGCCGCATTGCTCGCTGTTCGTTCCGAAGCGCATGCAATCGACGTCATAGAGAAATGTCAAGGGGACTGAAATCGACTCGCCGTCTAGGTCTAGAGGAGCCACGCATGTGCGACGCGAACAACGCGCGAAGTAGGCGCGTCACCACCCGAACCGGTCCGGAGACAGCCGAGCAGTCCCGAAGCGGCATTGCGGCGGGGCACACGCTCGTCCGGTCAAGACGTTATTGACTATTTCCTTCAATTCCCACCAAAAGAGTCTTGCGTGTCGCCCGTGCGAAGTGTTATACGTAGTGATATTTTCAAAAGTGAATAGACCCATCCGACTTAAGGATAAGAAATGATGCTAATTAATGCAAGTGACAGCGACCGTTGTAACACTAAAATTAGTGTTAATTAGCTGTTGCGACAATACGCCGTCTGTTGTCAGTTATTAAAGAAGATAAACATAAACCTTCCGGCTACTTACGACACTCCAAGTATAGCGGGAGAGTCGGAAAACGGAAATTTAACTGGCCAGTGGTGCGGTGCGTACAATGCCGCTTACAATTCAAGAAAACATCGCATTGCTGAATATGATGTCTTCAGATAATTTGGAGGACGACTTGAAAAGTGTTCAGTTGCATAGTCCATCGGAGAGGCGATTGCAGAGCGATGGCGCATGCGTTGAGGAGAGAGTGAGGACCTCGCGCGGTGACATCCTGGTGGCGGTGCGGGGGGACCGCAAAAAACCGGCCCTGATCACTTACCATGACCTTGGATTGAATTATGCGTCTAATTTCCAAGCTTTCTTCAACTTCGTCGAAATGAGGCCAGTGCTGGAGAAGTTTTGCGTGTACCATATAAACGCCCCGGGCCAAGAGGAGGGCGCCCCCCCTCTGCCGGAAGACTATACCTATCCCAGTATGGACGCATTGGCCTCGCAGATCGATTTTGTGCTAGGCCACTTCGGGATACGCTCGTTCATCGGTTTCGGAGTAGGTGCGGGCGCGAACATTCTCGCCCGATACGCGAACGGCAGCCCGCAGAAGGTCAATGCGCTGGTCCTAATAAACTGTACCTCGACCCAAGCCGGGTGGACCGAGTGGCTCTACCAGAAGATAAACACGAGACAGCTCCGTTCCAGCGGCATGACCCAGAGCGCGGTGGACTACCTGATGTGGCACCATTTCGGGCGCAGCACGGACGACCGCAACCACGACCTTGCGCAAGTCTACAAAGAGTGCTTCAACCAAGTGAATCCGATCAACCTCGCGATGTTCATCGACGCGTTCCTGCGACGCAGCGATTTGGGAATATCCAGGGACAATAATACTATAAAGGTGCCCGTTCTGAACGTGACTGGGGCTTTGTCGCCGCACGTCGATGACACGGTGACGTTCAACGGGCGGCTGGACCCCGCCAAGACGTCATGGCTGAGTATTTCCGATTGTGGCATGGTACTGGAGGAGCAGCCGAGTAAGGTAGCGGAAGCCGTGCGCCTGTTCCTGCAGGGCGAGGGTTACTGTAGGTAGGCAGAACGCCAAGATAGCGGGACAACGTACGGCCGCCACAATAGAATGCACTCGACGCTTCTCTACACGCGAGCTTTTACAACACATTTGTTGTAGACACATTTGGAATTGTAGGACGAAATTGTTAGAAGTTGTTTTTGAGATGTTTATGGAATAAAATTTTATTTTATTGCTTAAAATGGCTATTTGAATTCACCTTTCCTTTGATTTTTGTTTTGCTTTTTGAAGAAAACAACGATGGAAAATTATTCACAAATAATTCCACCTAAATTCAACTTCACTGAAACAAACGATTCTAATTTCAACTTCGTCAGATTTATTATGATGACAGAGTCAATAAGACTGAAAGCTATAGCAACAATAAAAAAAAATAACAATATTTAGAATAAGTATTTTAATAAGGTTATATAAATTATTGTTATCGCTACATAACAGGATATCTTATCTTTGTTAAACTATATTAATGACTTCTACTTTTTGATTGCAGTATTTTTAAATTAAAATTTATAAATAATTTAGTAATAAATCAATTTCAATGTGTAAATAATGTTTGATTTAAAAAAGTGCATTAAGTATATACCCTATGAAGTGGTTTTTACCGATAACCGATGGATAAGAAAGGTTCTCGAGTGACAGCTTCGTATACCTACGCCATCGCAGTGCAGGACGACCCTCCACTAGATGGAGTGACGATCTGGGCAAATCAGGATTTTCGAATCATCGAGGTTTTTTACAATAGTAAAAAATATCACCGAAATATTACCGACAGGTAACTTTTGATATCAAGTTCTGCTTGCTTATTGTATTTCAAGTTTATAATGTAGGCAGGTCAGATGTATGCCTGGGTAGTAAGCGCGGGGTTGTCCTTTATAGTCATTTATTATCTTATCCCTTATAAACTGCATTGATGTAAAAAAAAATTCAGTTTGTCGTGTTGAAAAAGTAACCCAAAACGTACCAAACACCCCTTCCCTGAGATATGTAATAATTAATTTACTTTTCATTTATTTTTAGTATTTTAACACGTCTGTCGTAAAAATCAAGTCGGAAACTTACCGCAATTAATGGTAAAGTTGTCATTACACACGTAAGTTAAGTGTAAAAACTCGTAAAATTAAGAAAACCCTAATGAAAAATATGTAATAAGGTTTTTACATTATACATAGATGATAATTTTTTTCATGATATTTGAAATTGTAGCGAATGAAGCGTTTCACCTAATAAACCCTAGATGGCGTATAGTTCAAAAACATCTGCAAAATAACTTAACTCTTTTTTAGCTAAAGGCTAATATTCCGAATAGTACGTCTCGTTTTTCAAGCTAGAAAAAAATTTTAATCGATAGAGAAATGTTAATAATTAAATATTATATAAGTTATAATCAATGAAAACCACTAGATTATGAGGAAAAAATTAACAAACTTTTTAAATTTCATACAACTGAAATCCGTCATTACTGTGCGTCCATTATTCATTATAGACTATTATTTAAAAACTTACGTTTTCACTTTTTACGTTGTAAGAAGACACAAATACACGGATATATCACAAAAACACAAGTTTCTACTTCATGAACATGTATTATTAACAATTTCTAATATTTAAAATTTGTGACTTAGGGTACACTAAAGTCTCGAATATTAGGTTCAAAATGAGTCACAGATCCGACACAGAGCGATCCGACTCGGATAGGTGAGGTTAGAAGGTTAAGGCGGGAGCTTTGCTCCCGCCTTAGCCTTCGATGTTAGATTTTTTTTTATGACCACCCAGAAAACTTTAGTGTAACAGTACTTTTAGTATTTTTAAAGACTCTTTTTTAATAATGCGAAGGTTATAATTTGGAAAAGTGAGTGAATTCTTAAATTTATACATGTTGTCAAACACAAAATGGCGGATTTATTTAGTGAAAATAACAAGTTTTAAATAATTTTTTTTATTAAAAGTAAGTGTTTGCCTTGGTTTTCACGTATGTAATATTTAATAATTAACATTTCTCTATCGATTAAATTTTTTTTCTAGCTTGAAAAACGAGACGTACTGTTCGGAATATTTACCTAGCTAAATCCTCTATGAAATATTTCATACGATTAGAATTGTACATAACTATTTTGATTAACTGATTACAGAAGGGTTTTGCTGTTGAAGTCTTATGACATTGACATAAAATCTTATAGGTACGTTCGTTTTACTTTCGATAAGAATTGTGAGAGGTGTTCGTAACTTTTTTTTAATATAAGTTACTCACATTCGACATCATTTCGATAACAAACTGTTATTAGTCATTAATTATGACAATTTTTTCAGTTAATTTGATGATAACCTGCTTTCACAAATATTAAAAATTTAATTGAGAGCAGAAGTATTTAGTGATTTTTCTTACAAACCGCCGTCAGGTATATTATTATGTACTTGATATATTTGATGATGAATTGATAAAAACAATATATTTGATGTTTCACATTTCGCTAAAGGGTGTAAAATGTCACGCAGTTGGTTATTTAGCTATAGTTCTAGTTTATTAGCTTTGGTGTTCCTGTGCTCCCGGCGTGAAGCCAGACTGTGTGTACCAGGGGTCGTTTTCTTTTGATTACATGAGATCTGTTCTGCATTTAAAGTTTAGTAAGATGTGAAACAATCTCATCAGCGATCATCAAAAAGTTAGCTAGAAGTCTGATTGGCCTAATGCGATCGGTTGGTTTGCAACCCTTTCTATAAAGCAAGTAGTCGCCAGCTAACTGTGGGTTTGATCCCTCTGGGATAAATTACTTATTTTTCTATTTGTCTTTTCTACATATACATAAGCTTTTTTTTTTTGCGCATCTCAAGGATTTAAGCTTCCTAATACCTATGAGGTGTTGCAGTTCCTTAGATGGAAAAACAACTTTCACCAATTTTCAAAATGTTAGTTGTTTCAACTAGAAAAATATATTTTTAATTACCAAACGTTTTTTCCTCACAAAAGAGCTTTGTGGTCGATTTAACTTTGTTTTTGAGTAATGTATATTAGTTAATGTATGATCACATTATGCTATGTTGTAAGGACCTTCTACACGTACTAGTTTACTGGGACAACCATACATATCCGCAATAATTATTTGTCCGTCATAAAAATAATCCGAATATTTTTTACACTAAATCAAAACACACAATTCACATCAATGCCATAAAACACTCTGTACTAATTAATCAAATAACCAAATTTTCTGATGTTGCAGAAACAGTGAAGCGATTAATAAAAAAAGTAAAAATACTAAGAATAATATTTACATAAAAATATAAACATTTCTCACTTATTGATGCAGCACGGCAGCACACATTGAAAATAAATATGAGCATTTTACATATACAAGCAGCTATGGCCTTCTTGGCTTTAGTTTACTTATAAATATCGCAGCGTGAGTACATGATTATTTTATATACTCGTACATTATTACTTTATCCTGAAAATGTATTGTATTGTATCACGATGTCATATGTAAACGAATTTTAGTACTTGATGGAATCTAGAATGTTATTTGACAGTTATAATCTATGTTTAAGTGTTTCATAAAATATTTATTACATAACTGATAATATGCCTTTTTTAAATTATCTTTTGCATAAGAAGGGAAGGTCATGCCGAGAGGATTTATGGTATAATTTATTACACAGTATGTTAGTTCTCAAACATAAAAATGTCACAACGGCACTCTTTAGACTTCGGCACGTCATCTCTGCCATTGCCACTGTAATAAAATATAGTTTTTGTATTGTAAAGTAATCATTAGTGTTATAATTCAAAGCACAATACGATTTCGATAATTACTGCAGTAATTAAAAAGGTTTTGAATATGGTAAAGTGAACAGTCTATATATGTCCCACTGTTGGGCAAAGGCCTCATCTGTATAGAGAGTAATTAGGCCATAGTCCACCACGCTCCCACTGCGGATTGGCGGAGTTCTCATAATATTTTCGAAATATTTTTTTATTATTATTTTAAAATTTGCATTGGTTTCCTCACGATGTTTCCCTTCACCGTTGAGCTTATTATGAGCCGTGATAGCTCATTGTGCAGCTCATCTTATCTTTTAATTCAATATACTTGAGCAACCTAGAGTTCAATATCCGGTGCCGGCATCAAGGAAATTGTTAATTTTAAAGGAATGGATTTAAAAAAAAAGAACTAAATCATTCGCGCGAAAATTCCGGAACACCGACTGCCGATAAAAAGTAAACAACGCTCCATTCAAAACTATAATTAATTTCCGAACCCAGGCTTTCGGTTCCGGAATCATTATTTTTTTTAAAACAGGCACGTACACCGCCGTTCATTTTTGCCCTTGCGTTGGTGGTTTTAGTAAAATGGAGCACACGATGGTGGGCGGGAGTGAGTGTGAGGGGGATTCCCCCCTTTTCTGACCGCTGCTGGCCGCCCGATGAATTATTCCTTAAAAAATAAAATACGAATTTCCTCGTTAGCTGGCTACTGCACTTACGATTATTCGTTAATTAAGTGTAAAATACTTTCGTGGTATATTTAGTTTTTTTTTTTCTATTACCAACGGAAGATAACTGATCCAGCCGTGCGACAGATGATAAGTGATGACCACTGCATAAGGACATTTACAGCACCAGAGATATTACAGCCGTCTAACGCCCATATACCACTGCTGACCCTGAAAGAGGGGGCTTCCAATTAATTCACTAACCGGAAGAATAGCTAAATTATCAATATCTCCCCTCGGGCCTTATGTGAAGTCATAGTAATTATCAGGTCGAGACTAGGGTTGCTAAGCGTACTATAATATTATATTGTTTATAGGGTCTATATCATTATAATATCTATATCTATAATCATTCGAAGTCAATAGCAACCCTAGGCACACAGGCACTAAGAAAACCTTTGTTTATCTCACATTATTTTTGCAGCAGTGGGGTTCGAATCCACGCTCAGTGGCATAAAAGACAGGTCTACTATCTACTGTCCTATTCAGGCCAAATGGATTAAAAATAACTA